TTTAACAGATGATTAGATGCTGAATTTAAATAGATCTGTGTAGATGCCAGGGTCAGTTGTCCACCAATGAACTGAAAGAAAGACACAGCGATTGGAATGTCTTCATTGTTTAAAGACATTATCGAGATTAGATGCCCTGTTCTCCTCTTTTATTGGTGCACTGGTGCTTTTGCTGCATATATTAGATATCAGATAATAATGCTTTCACCCTGTGCCGTCCCTTTGTGCTCAAGGCGAGCATTCTCGTGTGCCGGCTGGTAGGACCTGCGGTGCGTCGTCTGCCACGCCTTCAAATGATCAAAAAACCTACAGGGTCCCTTTCATATTCTGAAATTTCAGTAAATCGGTATTGTCTGAACGCTGTCGCAGTGCCCAGTTCTGCAGGGGGCCAAGCGTTGGCAAAACCGGTCGACAATTAGAGATCAGTGCACACTGTTTCATTGTGTTGTTTGTTTTAGTGGACTCACATCCGCATCCAGCCCATCATCAGACATTTGGTGAATGCTGTTTCTGTTGTTGCCCGACATTGGTATAGAACTGGAAGTGGCTTGACTTATTCAATATATTTTTTGAATAACTACTATATCATCGTGTTAATAGTTTCCACTACCTTTCCCAGACAATATAGTTTACTTGGAACTGGTATGTTCTCATTCACTCAATTCCTCTTGTATCTTTCAGGTCAAATCCAGACAAAAGGACAGACTGAATTGCTACTGTAGTTATCACTTTGTCTATCAGTCAGGGTTAGTAATATTCTTAATATTCTTTTTTAATAACCAAATATAAAGTGGTCGAAAAAAAGCAAGCATTTTCTAGACAATGTTGGAAATAGTGGTTGAAACTTAATGCAGATATTCTTATTTAAAGATATGAACTTTGTAACTGTTGGACTTGTGAAGTACAAGTAAAGGAAGCGTTTAAAAGTGGCTGTGATTGCTTCCATTTCGCGAACGATATGCAGAGAGTGAAAGAAAGAGAGGGAGAGATTTGATGCTTTCTGTTTTCATCCAGCGAACAAATGTACTTTGACGTCTCTGGGGAAAACTGTTACTGGTTGCCTTCACAAAGTGCGATGGAAAATGGCCCTAATTTTCCCTTCTTTTTTTTTGAAAAAAAAAAGTTGGGTCAGGGAATATGACAAAGCTTCAGGGCATTTAGCGTGGTGGGTGGAATGGAGGGGAAGAAAATAGGATTACAGAATATAACAGGGAGGAGAGATGAGCCTTTTTGTTTCTAGGTGAAGTGGTTTGCTAGTTAATATTTTAGTATTAATCATAATTAACCACTATCTGCAAGAAGGAACACAGGCTGTTTAAGTCTTTTGGATGAATCACAATACATGTTTCCGTGTGTACATTTCCATACCACCGTAGTTTTTTATTTATTTGTGGTGTTTGTTTTTAACCATGTGATGGAGGGAAAAGACCCAATGAATGTCTCCACTCCAATGATGAACCCAGTAGTGTTGAAAGGCCTGAGAGTTTTACATCAGGGGCTCTTGTAAGCTTTCCTAACGCTGTGATGTCACAGTTGAGTACAGTCTCGATCGTCTCCCCCTCAGGCCCCCGGGGGAGTATTTCCTGACCCGAATACCTCTGTAGAGAGGACACGATAGTACAGGATAGTACATACAGTAACTCGGTTTGCAGCAGAGCTTGGAAATTAATTACTATGTTGTGATCAGGTTGTTCTCATTTTTAGGTTTATTAAAACTTTGACCAAGAGTGGAGTTGAGATAATTGAGAACACATTATATGATCAATTTTCTCCAATGAAATCAGCTAGTATGGCCGCCTGAACACATCATTCCTTCAAAGAACAATGGTTGGTTCCCATATTGCTTTCTACAGTAAACTTGACAACAAAATTGCTATCTTGCGTGATTGACTGGGCCCGCTGGAGAACACCAATACTACTCTGTCAACTTGTTAACGTGTGCATAAATTGCCCGGCAACCCAGCTGCTACTATTTTTTCAAGCAATTAGCAATGTTATAAAACCAGGTGGTGTTTAGCACATGTATGGCAATCCCCTTTTATTTGCAAGCTGCGCCACAATAGCCACTTAGAGCTCCAATGGATTCATGCACTGAAACGTGTGCAGTAAGTTTAGTTAGGGCTGTTAATGTGTATTCATGGGAGTTTGGATTCTAGGTTTTTAAGAAAACAGTGCTTAACATGAGGCACGCATCACTTTTGTGAATGAATTATTATGGGATGGTGCTGGTGCAGACGCAGACTCAATGGTCCCTGTGGTGTGAAGCTGGATAAATCCTGGCAGTGTGCCCAGCAAGAGGGCGCGAAAGTCTGCCCAAGCATGCAGACAACTCTGTGTTAAACAACTTGGTTTAAGCCATATTTCCTTTGGGCCAGTAAGACGTTGCATGGGGTGTGTAGTGATACACTAAAATGTACTAAAATAAAGTATATGTGCACTTCACGCCCAGTGAATTCTCAAATATATGGGAAAAAAACTACAGAGATGAAACTACAGTTATGGATGGTAAAGGGCAGAGTAGCAGCTCTGATTGGAATGTATTTTAAACCATATCTAATAAAATAAGTTTTTTTCCCTTTTCATGCATTTATATTCTTTATTCAGGGTTATTTTGTCATTGTACATTATCAAAAATGTGTATGATGTCTGAACTGTGCAAGTCTGCAACCCATAAATGTCATCATGACACATGCTGCCTACAGTGCTGTCAAGAATTTATTTTTCCATTCCTTTTGCATTTCAAAGTGTTATATTTTGAGAAGAATAAAGGCTAACTTCTAGATCTGATCTGGTCAAACAAAGACAATATTATAAAAGTAAAAAGACAAGCTGTGTGTGGCACATCCATCCACTGAGAATAGAAATGTCTCACCCTAACTTCTATGAATCAGTGTCCATAAGTCTGTACCTAAAAAAATTAAGAAAATCCAGACTCCCACGTAACGCTTGCTTCAGCTCATGGATGTCGCTTTGTGCAGCTATGACTCCGTGGGGGATGAGACCTTGCAAAGTTTCAAAGAAGAGAATAAATGTCAAAACAAGTGATCTAAATGGACAAATCCAACAAGAACAAATGGCAAAATTCTCACTGCTTTTAATGGGGATGGCAAGGAAACTGTTCATTTCCCATCATTAGTGTCATCGGTTTTGTTATCGATTTGTGCAGCGAGTCAAACAAAGAGAGAAGAGTCAAACAAAGAGAGAAGAGGTCTACGTGGAACAAAGGGAAAAAATGCACACAAGCATAATGTTTAAATTCCATTTGAGTAAAAGAAGGTTCTGTACTTTCTTACTGTGATGATACATGAAAAATGTACATGAAGGACAACTTTTTTTCTCTGTAGTTTATGATACTTATGCTAATTTAATTTCCAATGTGATACCATGAAACATTATCTGAATATACTGATTCAGCACTGCCTCATAAACCAATCACTGCAATGTTTCTGCTGTTTCTGTTTTCTGTGTCAGCACTTCATATTTTGAGGCCTGATCTCTAAAGGAATATGAGGCTAACACGGTTTGAAGAGTTGGGCACGAGCGGAGCTTGTTTAAGTGTTACAGATAACATTAGGACTAAAAATGCACAAAAGCACAAATCATCTGTAACGACAAAACCCATAGAATCTAATTCGCTCACAAAGTCCACTTCCCGTGTCGCGGTGTCTTGCGTTTTTTGCTGCATGCGAGAAAAGGTACCAAGGAAAGAACACGTGAAAGAAAAACCAAACAAGTAACTGAGAATAGACTCCAGTCCTCTCTGCAGTTCTGCATTCACCTTCTTCAACGTTTCTGCAAGTGGTTATAAAAGCGAGTGTTGTTGAAAGTGTTATCTCTAACAACAGACATCTTGCAAGTGAATGCAGGATCTGTAAGCAACGGGACAAGATTTTGGTATTGGAGGCGTTCTGGTTTCTGTGTGTGTACTCAGTTTGTAGTTATTATTATTATGGACCAATTACTTTTGAGCGGAATTTGCTGGCGTACAGTTAAACAGTCTGTATGGTGGGCAAAAGAGGGGGTATGCATGGGCAGAAATGTATTCTCTGAACCAATTGCCTATTTCCTGTCAACATTTTAGCGACAATCAAAGACCTTCAGAGCTTGCAGTTCCCAATAGAACTCTAAACAATGACCGGTCCACAGAGGAGGAAATCTTGACCCAAATATCTGGCTGTCGGCGAGCTCCCACAGAATCCCATCAATGCTGGTTGTCGAGCCCAACGTCAAAAAGGCTTAGACGATTGGTTGTTTTGCGTTGCTAATATTCCCAAGTTTGGATTTAACCTAAACTGGAAAGATCTAAGAACACAACTAATTAACTCCATCTTATTGATCAAAGGAGAGATCAAGGGTCAGGGAATACTATTCAATATGGTAATTATTCAAAGCGTGTTTCAAGCACACTGATGTGAAGCCTGTCATTGAATGCGTTGCACATAATCTCATCCATGTGATCATACATATCACATTGAAGCCACGTAGTCATGGTTACGGTGAGTGTGGGCGCATGGGCACTGTGAATGGATTATCCTTTTAAACCTTAAATTGTGTGAATACTGAAGTGGGCTCAGCGTTGCCCGCACATGTAAGCACGTGCATTGCTGTCTACATGTCTACAGCATGTACTGTAATCATGTGAATGAGACACAGTCTGCTCTTCCGGTTCCTTGCTAGCCCGGAAATTAGGATGGATGAGTGTTTCATAAGCACAAGCTGAGAGTAGCTGGTCTCATTGTTGTACGTACACTTCACTCCTCAATGTACTAACCATGTGCAAATAATACAAAAAGTCTGAAATCAGGCCGGATGAAATCCATTCTTCTGAGTTGCAGCCATTTTCCACAATGTAAAATCTGTCATGGGATCATCATCCTCACCATCGTCATTATTACTACTCCATCAATTTACTGAGCGTGGTGCACACACATGGGAAGTACAGCCCTTGCATATTGTCCTTCTTGTACTTTTGGTGACAGTTTTTGCTTTGTTTTCCTCAGGTCCTCCTGTCGTCGTGGGAATGAGCATCAACATAGCGAGCATCGACTCCATCTCAGAAGTTAATATGGTGGGTCACAAACTTCTCTGTGTGATGATCACATACTGGCTTTCGACCTGCACCTACTGCCAGCTGTGATTGTTTGACAAAATGACCAGGGTGGCCCGGCCTTGAACTACTGATATTTTACTAACACTCCTCTGCAGGAAAGCACATATTATTATGTTTTGACCGATCTTGGAGTTGTGAAGAAATCAATATGGCCGATTTATGAGTGACGTCATTTAGTCTCGTTCTTTGTTTTACTCCGCTTGACTCCGTATGGTAAAGCAGATTTCCTTTTTGTGTTATAGTCAGTGTTGGGAGTAACGCGTTACAAAGTAACGCATTACTGTAATTCCACTACTTTTAGCGGTAACGAGCATGTAACGCAGTTACAATTCCTGAAATTGAAATGAGTTCGTTACTCGCGTTACTCTTTTGTGACGCGAAGCGGAGGGTCGGCAAATAGTAAGTAAATAGCTGCCTGTCAGCAGAAAATAGTTGTGGCCACCAAACAATGTGTGTCACAGAATAGTCGCCGTACGTGCATGTAAACAGCATCGCGTCGCTCATGACGAAATAAATATTTTGATACTATATTTTGTCTGTTAGTACACACTTTGTGCTCTCGTGTGTAGCATACATTAAAGGTTTTCTTTTTCATGACAGCTTTTTCTGCTAAATGATTCCCCTAGCTCATGACCTTATGTAAAGCTGAGTTATCTGTGACTTCACATACGTGTTTCCTTCTCCTCAGGACTACACCATCACAATGTATTTCCAGCAGAGCTGGCGGGACAAGCGCTTGGCCTACAATGAGCTGAAGTTAAACCTGACTCTGGACAACCGTGTAGCAGACCAGCTTTGGCTCCCTGACACCTACTTCCTTAATGACAAGAAGTCCTTTCTACACGGTGTGACGGTAAAGAACCGTATGATTCGACTGCACCCAGATGGCACTGTGTTATACGGACTGAGGTAAGAACGCTGTGCACTCTGTACCCCGTCCTATTTGGTCTTACTTTCTCCATTTTAACATGCTTCTGCCATTTGAACCTGAGCTACTCGAACCTGCTGCAATTCCCAGATTATAAAGAGAAAATAGAGAAACATTACAAACATATTTTTGTAGCTGGATAAAGCACTAAAGATATATTTACAATATACCAGTATTGTATCACACAGCAGTAATACTTGGCTCATTTACCAGCACACAAGCGTAGCAAAATCTTTGCATGGGCAGAACTGTCACGGTTTGGGTTCATGTCTGGTTTTATTTTGTAGTTTTCTGCTTCTTGTCTCCCTGGGTAACTTTACGTCCTGCCTTGTCCTGTCATCCCCTGTGATTGTCTTATTGTTTCCACCTGTGTCCAATCACCTGCACCTCCCTAGTGTATTTAAGCAGTGTGCATCTCTTGTCACTTGTCGCGTCATTGTCTATGGTCCTGGATGTTCCGAGTTCCTGTCTGCCTTATTTCCCTGGTACCTGTATGCGTTTTTGCCCCTTGGCCATTTTGTGTTGGAGTTTATGACTGTTAAAGTCTTTTTGCTTTTGACGTCTGCGTTTGAGTCCTGCCTTCCCACGCATCCCTGACAGAATGACGCGAGCGGTGACAAGAGATGCACACTGCTTAAATACACTAGGGGCGTGCAGGTGATCGGACACAGGTGGAAACAATCAGACAAAACAGCATTCAGAAAACGGGTCGATAGCATCACCTGTATTTAGAAATGTAGAGCAGGAGAAAATGCTTCTTGGAATATTAGTCCAGAGAACTCGCTGTCATTGACGGAGGGAAATGATGAGTGATATTGCTGAAGACCCGGACAAACTCATCCAAACCCGTCACTGCGCCAGAAAATCAAGATCAACACTCAGAGTGTTCTGGTCTCAATTATGACACATCTTTTTTTGGCAGGAAAAACAGACTTTAAAGTTTTATTTATAGATTTAATAGTCCAAAAAGTTCTATGTGTGACTCAGGAAAAAAAACAACGAAACAATATTTTGAATAAAGAGGGGCACATTAAATTCAGGACTCTTTGTCCCAAAAAGGCTAAAAAAAGGTTCAAAATACTCACCACCTCAATGTCCCAGATCACTGCGACAAACTAGACAACACAGTCAACAGTAAATGCGCACAGTGGGACCCAGCTAGATTCCCCCGAGAGGGCTAAAAGTACAACAGCGTCCTGAGCTTTGTTCAAGCTCAGAATGGATTGGCATTTTTCTTAACAAGTCATTAAAATAAAGTAGTTGGATGGAGGCGAGGAAGCTTTTGTCCTGTGAGTAAAAGAAAATGGCAGCGACAAGGTGTAGATCATAATAATGAATTATTATTGCAGTAATCACTATTCAGAAACTGAACTGAATTGGTTCTGACACAAAAACAGATTTGATGCAAAAGTTTCACTGTAACCAGCATCCACAGTATTGCCAAAAGGCAGATGGCATCAGGCCATTCACTCTGTACTCAAGGCTATTTTTTTCCAGGAGTCATTAGAAGCGGTGCATAATCTACACGGCATGGTGATTTCAGGACAATTGCAGACCTCCTGTAAGCATCCAATTAAACTGCTTTGGGAAATGTTTAACTTTGCCCAAGTGTTGCATGGATATTTTTCCCCCCAAAATAATAGATGTAGCTGTAACAATATATTTTGTTTTCTTTTTTTTAAAATTCATATAACTTCCTCTTGAGTTTTGCCACTTGAGAGTTTACTTAAATGCTTTTCTTGTAAAGACGCCTGTTTGAGTCCATCCAAGCTGCTACACTAGTGCACAGTAGAATCTAAACTGAGGACAATCACATTACACACACTGCTGGACCTACTGCTACGCTCTCACCTATCCACAAACTGGGAAATGTGCTGATACTGGTATTTGCCTCCTTTTCTTTTTAACCATTATTTACCATGATTCCTAGTGCTTAAAGGGTATTTAATCCAAGCTCTGTGTATTTGTCTTGAATGGCCTATACTGATTTTGCATTCATTTTGAGTACAAGCTCTGCTGCTGTAAAATTGATTTGTGGTGACAGAATTACCAATAATTTAGTATTTCACAAGTGAACATATGCCCAAAATAACTGTCTCTGCAGTCTCCATTAATTGTGCCACTGAAACAATCAATGGTGCACCGGCACCCGAAATTCAAATATGCTTTTTGTAAAGCTTGCTAAAAATCACCCTTTTGTATACTTGAGATATACGGCTGTTGGTGGTTTATTTGTTTGTTAAGAGGGGGGAGGGGCCAGACCTGAAGATTGCTGAATGGTGCAGAAAAACTAGATTATTCTAAACGTCAATAAAAGAAGTCTGTGTCAGTAGAAAGTGTCCAGCCTCAAACTTGCAAATGAGTCAAGAGCCTGATAAATGACTGTCAATCCAGGTTTAGTTGTGCATATGGTCCTCCGAGCATTGAGGGCTTTTTTTGATGTAAGCTTTTGCCATATTTCTCTCCAATCCAATCCAATCTTGTGTACCTCTGTGTAGTAAACCATGGTGTAGTACTATGATCTTCTTTGGTAAGCAGGCTGCCTTACACAGAGGGATACATGAGCAGACTGTGTAGGTGTCAGAACCATTGCTCATATATCTGAGAGCCTCCCCGTCTGTATGCTCAGCCTCTTGGATCCACCTCCAGGTTGCTCTTAGTTGTCACGTAACGCGGAAACTATACATAGTCTGAAAAGCCTGAGTGGCCTGTAGGAATGAGTAGAACTCCCCTTTTAGCTTTTTAGATTACAGTACGCACTACAAGTAAACCTATTTTTTCTACTGAAATCATATTAGAAAAGTTGGTATTTCACTAGTATTGCACATCAGAGGCGTGATCGTCTCTGGTTACTTCAAGTTGCTGAGCAACATCTGCTGACTAATCCAAAACCCTGCTGTGAGATGTCCCAACTTGAGCCTACTAGAGTCTGTCCTGACTTGTTGACTGTCGCACATAAAGTCAAAAAAGTCAGTGGTTTTTATTCCCATCCAACTTTTTTTTCTAGAATCTCATGATTGCCCAGTGACCTTTCCTATCCATGTAATCAGGCATGAGGTTATCTCCTCACAGCGTGTGCCGGGAGGCGCCCTGCTGTACACTTGGAGCCGAGGAGCACTGCGAGGCATCAGGGCGGTGCAGCACAACACAAACAAACTGGAGTTTGAGCGGCTTAGTGCTTGAGCAGCAGAATGCAGCTCAGTGTCACTGTGGATACCTGCAAAACATTTTTGTTTTTGTATTATTTGCTGTTGCCCTTTTGGGCCAAGCCGCCGTAATAGCCCCAGAGGCTCCACGTGCTGGTGTGCTTATCCGGCCCAATCAGCCCAAGCAGACCATAACCCGCGGACGGCACCTCCGTTCGACCCACCAATTTACAAACTCTGTGTTCAAGAAATACATTTTTCAATGCAAACAGTTTTTTATCTAGTGCAATAATAATTCTAAAGTTACGGTTAATGGTGGCGCACAGTTGCTCACGGCTTTACTGTAAAGCCACCGCCTGTAGCAGCCTTTCATTTAAACATGATCGATAATATATAGAAAATGCGAAACATGCTTTAAAGGGTAAAACTTCATTTTACTATCATTATACGCTGTGTCAGAAGCCACTAGTACTTTCACAGGGGAACGAGCTGGTGGCTTCTAACACCAAGACGATGTGCTGGAAATTCATTTTTCTATTTCATTTATACAGGAGGCCAGTAAGCGAATGAAAGCTAGTACGATGAACACATAGCAGCTGGTATGAACATCAGAAATGTAATTACTAAAATGTGCTGCACCGGTAAATATTTTAGTTAAATGCCAAAGACCCCTACATGTGTAATTTGTAGCCAAAGCAGTTTTTTCTTGGGCTGCAGGGTTTATTGATATTAACAAACTGCGATGCATACATATTTTCTAAAGCTACCTGGCAGAAATTTCCATCCTGGAACCGGCAATAAATAAAGTGCATCGACAAAATTGCAGATGCCGAGCAGCGAGTGATCCATTTAAAAGGATATGTTTCTCAAGACTGCTCACAGTAACGTAAAAAGATAAATAACATTAAAAGAACCTTGAACATGAGGAAAAGTACTGAGAAAAAAACAACTCTCCGTTTTAATAAAAGAGAGCAATGGGTTGCGGCATGGTCCTTTACACCATCACCCTGGACCATGCATGTGATACATGCATTTTGACACACAAAGCACATTTGCCAGTCTGATGTTGACAAATGTCCTCCGATAATATGGGTTTAAAAGCTACCTGTAAGATGGTTTCACGTTGTAAAACAAAAAGCTACAAATTAATTTGTATGAAAATGCCGCTTGACCCAGTGGTGGACAGACTGGTGGTTCATCACGATGTTCAACATGTTAGTCTTAAAGTCAAGTCTTAAATCCTTTTTCTATTAATCTATGTCATTACGATAACACCCAAGTCTCTGTTCTGTATCTGTTTTTCTTAGAATAACCACCACTGCTGCTTGCATGATGGACTTGAGGAGGTACCCTCTAGATGAGCAGAACTGCACTCTGGAGATTGAAAGCTGTGAGTTTGATTTGACATTGTCTCTCAAAACTAAGACTTAAACAATGCTGTTTGGTAATCATAAAATTGTTTATTGTAAGTTACACTTAATTCCTTGAGTTGGTCATGGTAAGTACATTTTACAAAATCATTAAGAGGTGTCATTTGTGAAATATTTGGTATCATTTGTCAAATGAGTGACCTTTGGAGTTGATGACCGCGATGAAAAACTAGTGATGAAATCACGGTGCTTCCTGATGGTGCATTGATTAGTATTTCATCCATGTGACAGATGGACCGGCCCACAACTGAATATTTGAGTGTAGCGGGCAAACTGCTAACATTCATTTTTGGGATCTTACTTCATCCTCAATATGGCTCCTAACATATATTATATCAACGTCATGGTCAACGTCCATAACGAGGTTATTGTCTCATTTAGCATCTGACTAATCAAAAATGATTTATTAGGAAGTGATCAGTATGTAGATATTTGCCATAATAATAGTAACTTCAGTTAAATTGTAATGTACTATTTTCCTTATTTTGGGAGCCTCTTGAAGGAAGTTAAGTCAGCTGTTTCCATGCTTCAAGCTAAGCTAGGCTGAGCTAACCATCTTCTGGCTTTATGTTTATTTTTTCCATACAGATTCAGTCGTATTCAATCTTCTTATCAAACTCGATTTAGTAAAGTCTCAAAATAATTCTCAAGTTCTTCCTACATCATTTTAATTCAGTTATTCAGGAAGTCCTGGTTGGCCTGTGGATAATTTTTAAAAATCTTATGACCCATCACTTTTCCGTAGTATGCCCCGTGGCTAATAAACTGGCATTTATGTGGGAAATAGGTGGTTTCCTTTAAGATTAGAATAATAATACCTTCACTCTTGACAAAATTGCAGATCTTACACAATATCACACAATATTCAATGTACATATCATGTCTGTTTTGATTTGGATAAATCAATATCCAGGAGAAAAAGGTGCTAGCGGTGTAATTAAAAATTGTATTTGCTTGATCATTTTCATCGACCACTCCATCAATCAGCCCACTTGCTCCATACAACAGATTAGTGGTGCTTGTTATTCAAGATAAAACTGCAGAGTGTTTACCCTCGGGACATTAGGCGGCAATGAAATATGGATATGCCAGGAATTAAAAAGTTGCAAGAATATCTATTTATGTTCATAGAAGAAGCGGCGCTAGTGGGAGTCATGCACACAGCCCTCACTTTGATTAAGCAGGCAGTTGTTTCAATTTCACAAACAATGTCACATTTCCTTACCCCATAACCTTGGAGGGAGATTTAATGTTAATGAATTCTGGTCCTTTGGTGACGTTAATGCCATCCAGGTCTGGATGTGAGGTAGTAGAATTGAAATGTACCAACACTACCGGACTGAGAAATGACTCTGCAGTGAATGCCTGCTGGCCTATTGACATAAATCTTCTGCTGTGGTCACTTTTTGTGCTGGGAGTTGAGAATGAGTGTAACGGCCATGCCAGGTGACATGTGTTAATAAATATTCATTCACCAGTTAATACGTGCATTGATAAAAAGCTCCATAGGAGTCTGAACAGTAGAGCAATGACATTCCACTTAAAAAAAAGATGATTAATTACTTTTAGAGGGGAAAATATTTTCGTTTTGATGTGTCACAAAAACGTACTCTAATAGAGTCTTGAGAAATCTGCATAGGGTGGGGGTCTGATTAATATTTAGATGTCTCACTAAAGTGAATGATAGTCATATCCTACCAAAATCTGGCGACTTCCAAATTTTAAAAAACAGGCTCTATTAATAGTTTGACATGTCCTTTGATGGCTAAATTTGTATTGCGGATACAAGTATAATTTTGGGCCTATGTGGCCCATACTATGTGGCCCATAGTCCATGGGCCACATAGTATGAATCAGTATCAGTTTCAGTGCAGTTGTCCTTTTGAGAAATTGAATGCCATTTCTTTGTAAATTTGATAATTATTAGATTTTTTTCAACTACAATTCAGTGAGCAATCAGTTAAATACAGGGGGATACTAATAATATTGGCAATGATGATTCAACACTTTAATCTCGATGGAAGTTCTGAACATCGATAAATCTCACTCTGAGTTTTGCCCCCAGAAAGCGGTTGTGTTATTGACCCACGACAAAGATTTTAAAATATGTCACGCTTATGTTGCCTGTAGCTTTTTATCCATGTATTGCAACAAATGGAAATACAGTTATACTTGCAGCTTGTGGCTTCGCTCTTAGAGTCCTCCCCGGATTAGCCTAGAAACTACTAAGCCAAAACGGGGAACGGGTAAAAGAAATCCCCCAGGTTTACAGGAATGAGCTCAAAGTAAACTTTGAATACCATTTCTACCATTTTAAAGATAAACTCTGAACTCCAAAGAGTGGAGGCTGCAGTGGTGGAGGCAAAGCTTTTCCAGCAGTACGGCCTGTAACAGCACTGGTGTAGAACGTTTCAGTATAAAGAAATTTAAACGAACCTCCAAGTGAGAGTGGGCTATGATTGGTGTCTGGCCGATTGGAAGCGATGATTCAATCGGCTGGCTGTCAGCCGGTCACACCTGGGGGCTCAAGACGCAATGCTCCAAATGTAAATTTAAAAAAGGACAATATTTCACCCATTGATCCATTTCAAGATGATCACTAGCGAATTTTAGAGAAGCATATGTTATCATATGTTATCATTCCGAGTCCTGTTCCTGTTGAAAGAGTTGTTGATATTATTGTTGCCAAGTTATTATCATCATATTATCATATTATCACAATAGTCTCCAAAAGTCAAGACACCAGGACTGAATATGCTGCTACGTTGCTTAGCTCTGACCCTCCACTCACTATCCCTACTCTTGCAACAGACTTTAAATAGAAACATGGTTATCTTTAATGGCAATTTTTTCACCACGCTTAAACTCCACACGTGTTCTTGTCCCCTCTCTTCTCTTGGCCATAATTTGCCCCGACCTTGAAACAGATGGATATACCACGGATGACATCGTGTTTTTCTGGCAAGGAGAAGACAGAGCAGTGACCGGCGTCGACAAGCTGGAGTTACCTCAGTTTTCCATTGTAGACGTCCGTTTAGTGTCCAGGGAGGTGAAGTTCGCCACAGGTAAGGCTGATTTTAAATATGCTTCTTAACTGCACTGCACACCGGGTTTTTTTCTATTCTTAAATAATCACATCTGGATTGCGTCACCACTGTGATTTCTGTAAGTGGGGGCATCAGTACATGCATCATTGTCACTGTGGGGAATATGATTATATTTACAAAACAATTTCCTTTTTGCTCCAGCAGATTGTTGGTGGCCATTTCCACAAATTTACAAAATGTTCACTGACTAAGAACAAAAAACAAAATCAACCAATCCTTAGCTTGTGACACCTACAATATTTAGATTATATCCTCATTGCTCCTGTTAGACACACATGGGATATAGAGTTGTTGTTACTTAAAGACAACTTTGTGGTGCTTTTCTCAGAATATTTCAATGTTTTTGTCTGTTGCACTTTTACTTCAGTGGGAGCTTTAGGTTGGCAGATTTATTTTCCCTTTCAGACAGAAGCAGGCCTATAGTTTTCCTCGTTATGTTTAACTAAGCTAACCTGATTGTATATTCTTAGCAATATGATATACTAATATTTTAAGCATATAATATATAAAATAAAAGTAAAGAATCTGATTACCTCTTGGACCTCTTGGACCTTTGAGCAAGAATACCAGAATTTAAAATTCAGCACAATATGCTTTTGATTATGTTTGATCTCTGAATGACTGTATAGCGACGACTCACTGATTTTAGACGAGTTCAACCGTGTAAAAGACGCAAGAAAACTAACAAAAATCAGTTTTCCTCTTGATGAAGAGAATAGTCTTATATTCAAGTTGAATTCTCATGTTTGAATTTAATGTAACGTTTAAACATTGGTCACCACCATTAATCTTGGATGTACTTGGATGATCTGAGCCATGTCTCTGGTGTGATGAAGTATATTTGCTATGGTATTGATTCATTCAAAGATTTACAGGAACATGGAGATGATGAGGTCATTCATCATTGTGTATTCCCCCCATAGCATACAGCCTTTAAGATATAAACCATCATGCTTATCTGAAGTGTCTCTCTGGTGACATATTGGAAATACATCTGTAGATAGAATACCTACAATCAAATTTAACTATATTTAGTGCAATTTGTATTGTTTCTAAGCCTGTCAATTTCTGGTATAGCTGAAGTACAGAGCTCCTGCCATGATGTAAATATAGCTGTATGTTGTGGTTGTTTGAATTAAAGTGCAGTCAAAAGACTAATTCATGTCTTGGCACAACCAGCAGATATTTAGCTGTAAAATACAATGGAATGAGTTTCCCCCCTTGTAAGTCCAAAAGGCGAGCGATGCATTAATGGACCTCTAAAATGCCGCTTTGGTAATGTTTAGAGGACAGAGAAAGTGTAAAAGAAAAGCAGAGCAGCTCTCTGTGACAATTCTCAGAGGGATGCTGGAGCTGCCTGCTGAGATAGGGGGTTGCAGAAAAATCTGCCCCGTTTGCGACTTTCTGCCATGTTTAATTGGAATCGAACCTGTCCCTGGAAAGGAATCCATCGCTTTGGGGAAATTAAGTGCTCTATCTGAACAAATGGAGAAATGACTACCCTGCACGTTGTGCAGACTTTGAAACTCTTACGTTGCATCAACATCCCCCAACCCGCATTCACCTTTTTTCCCACTGATGTGTTTTCACTCTGACTCCCTGCCCTTTCCAAACTGTCACTCCATCCTTTCTCCTTACAGGTTCATATCCAAGGCTTTCGCTGAGTTTCAGGATTAAGAGGAACATTGGATATTTCATCCTGCAGACATACATGCCCTCCATCTTGATCACCATCCTCTCCTGGGTCTCCTTTTGGATCAATTATGATGCCTCTGCAGCTCGTGTGGCCCTGGGTAAGAAAAAGTCCCCACCGCTGTATTATCAAAGTAGACAATTGTCTGTGTTAAAACCCAGCTAGCAACACTGCAGTCATTGTAATGTGCATTGTTTACACACACCGGTAAATTAAATCATCGACTGCATTCAAGACCACAATTGCTGACACACTAACGTTTCAATGGGATGTCCTGTTTGTCGCGTAGTATTTGAGAGGACTAATTGTGAGTAATGATGTGAACACTTATTCCATCTCTTATCAACATCTTCTGTGTGTGACGGCTAATTCTTTGTTTCTGTGTGTGCTGTTGTGCTCAGGTGTGACAACGGTGCTTACCATGACTACAATTAACACCCACCTTAGGGAGACTCTCCCAAAGATTCCGTATGTGAAAGCCATCGACGTCTACCTCATGGGCTGTTTTGTGTTTGTGTTCCTGGCCCTGCTCGAATATGCCTTTGTAAATTACGTGTTCTTTGGCCGGGGCCCTGCGCAACAGAAGAAAATCAATGAGAGGCTGAACAAAACCAACAACGAGCGCACAAGATACGAAGAGAAGCGCCTGAGGGAACAGGTTTGCATCTTCATCTGCTACCTCTCTTTACTCTGCGTGTCAGTCAGGGCTTAAGTACGAGACAGCCAATGTTCTCCCCATAACACTTCTGGCCATACTCTTTTTATCCAGCAAGTAACTCATCTTCCAAAAGTACACTGATGCCACCGCAGGACGCAAAAAAGTATATTCACCAACCATCATCCATTGCTTCGACCCCGAGCACTGAATGCTTTTTATGGAGCACAGCCCTTTTCATTGAGATAGCGGATCATCTAGCCAAACAGTGGTGTAAAACATTCTCATTTCTTATTTAGGTTGTTGTCTATGTTTATGCTGCAGGCTTCCTTCATTCTCACTCTGCTCCCTTATGTTTCAACGTGTATTTTCAAACTGAACTGCAAAATCTATATTAAAATGCGGGCAGTTTTGGTTGCAGCGAATGCGGCGTTGGTCAGACTGAATGAAGCCCCCTTCCCAGTTTTTTTTGTGTGTGAAGTATTAAATGCTATACTAACTCAAATGTGTTGATTGTTCACTTTATGTCTAATGCATTGTGTAATTCTGACAAAAAATGTGCTTGTTTGCCAGAACTCTATAGCCGTTTTAATGTTCTCTTCATTTTTCTTTCACATTGCAAGGACTCCATTTCCGCGCCGTATCAAACCAACACCTTCAGGTCATTTACACAGCGAAGAAATCTGTATCTCGAGGAACAAAGAAAAGTTGGGGTACATTATTATTTAGAAATCATATGAGCTGTAGGCCAGCACTCACAGTAAAGTCAGTTGATTAAGGCTATTCCAATTACTTGTGTCACTTTTTTTTGTGAAAAGTCAGTTATAGATATCTGTATGTAGAAGCTCTTTATTAACTATTTGTGTGTCATGGAAGAAATCACGTTGCATTACAGACAGTTTCTGGGAGGGGAGGGAGGGCTTGACATTCATGATATAGGGGAATTTGGGGCTACTGCTTGACATTCCAGCCCTTCTTGACTCTTAGTGTCTTCCCCGTCTCCTCGCAGGTGGATGCTTATGGAAACATCCTCCTCACCACACTGGAGATGAACAACGAAGTGATGCCTTCTGATGTGGGAAGCAGCGTCAGTGACTCTCGGAATTCCGTCATGTCCTTCGACAGCTCCGGGGTCCAATTCAGGAAGCCCATGGCTCCCCGCGATGGCTTCAGCCACCACTCGCTGGACCGCAGCGCCATGCGGAGCCGGGCCAACTGTCGGCTACGACGACGCTCCTCCAAGCTCAAGTTGAAAATCCCAAACCTGTCAGATGTTAGCACCATTGACAAGTGGTCCAGGGTCATTTTCCCTATCACCTTTGGATTTTTCAACCTAATCTACTGGTTGTACTATGTGAATTGATGTGCATCCCACTAGGAATCATGGGCCATATTTTGAGAGCACATTAATTTGGCTTTGATACAGTTCCAAAATATGTATAAACATATACAAGTTGAACATATGTATATGCATATTTATATATATTATATTTATATATACACCTGTCAAATCTGAAGGACCTTTCTGCTGTACAAAGTATTAATAGGATGACTTGAATGTTTAAGAAGAATTGTGGGAGAAGACTTTCAATGCTTTTGAGTTTTTTTTTCCTCCTGAAAGAAACAAAGAAACAAACAACAAACAAACACAAAATCCCACCTGGGGGTTTCGGAACTAAAGACTGCATGATATTTTTGCTAAAAGTGGAAGTTGAAGCTCCTGAGAGAGAAAAAAAAAATATGTCTCAGAGTCCCATTGACTTTTTAGTGATACTTATTGTGATCAAAAAATTCCTCTACTGCAGCTCATGAGAAATCAGCGGTGGCTCGTCTGTTCAGGCATCAGCTGAGGGAGACCCTTGACACCCGCAGCCGCCCTCACCAAAACCCCGTCCCCCGACCCACGACCCCCACCCATCGCCCTTGGACAACATGCACGGAGAACATCCGGTTCTACTACTGTACAGCAACCTTGTTTGGATTATGTGTCGTACCTTGGGTTTTTTGCAGTGGTATCGTTCTCTTTATCAGACACCAGCGCGCTGGCCTGATGGGCTCCACTAGAGGCTCGCGTGGATGGGATGTTTGAACCGCAGCATTCCCGCCCAGTGTCAACGCAAACTTGTGTTCCTTTCTCTTCTCACGTTATTTTTAGAAAACATGTCCTTGGTGGTGGGGGGAGGGGGTAGGGGGGGATGAGGGTATTTTTCATTATGGTTAAAAACAAGTGCTGATTATTGTAGATATGATTTTGTCTTGAAAAATACTGTGATTTCAGAGAGTATGGGAACGTGTTCTAGAGCTAGGGGCATTATGAGATAAAAGAGTCAGAAGTATGCATTTCTCATTTTGATTGTGTGAAAAAAAACATACTCTATACATTTTATCATTGAATATTTTCATGAAAGTATACTTGTAATGTTTATTTCCTCCTATTGATGGATTCTCACGCTCTTTAGACGCAGCGTTCATTGACGTCATATTCCGCTTTGTGTTTGCTGAACGGAAACGGGAGGAGTGCTTCTGTGACTTGTTTGAGATTATTCCACAGCAAAATTGTGAGGTCATGTATTTATATTCAAAAGAGTCAACATATCAGCCCGCGGTTTGACCAGTTGTCATTCAGTATTCAGTATTTATTTGTATGTTAGTTGAGCATTTGTGGTGGAGTCGCAGTTTGTAAAGGCAAGATTATTTGATTGTGATGTTAATGGGCAGCCCGGGCGGAAGGATACAACATTTCACAACTTTAACTCGATCACTGCCATCACGCTTAACCCAGACGATCAGAAACATACGCATAATCGGGAATGATGCACGATTCTTGGCAGAAAATCTGGCCTTTAAACCATCTGCATTACTGTTTGGTTTTGCTTTCAAACACAGAAATTTACACAACATCTCCAATGCTCAAGTTGGAAGGAGAGGGGGAAGAGGGAGTATTATAGGATATTGAATTTTTGGGGGGACATTAGACGGATGTATGTTTTTTGGTTGGAATGAAAGTTAATGAACTCGGGAAGAATTCAGACCATTAGACAACTGAGGCAGATGGACGGTAGACATTAAAAGGGGAGGAAACACATTTGAACAAATCCTCCCGTGCCTGTTTAGCTTCAGCTGTAGTGGAGATCAGCGTCTTGTGTCATTTTCACTTCCGGCACAAACAGACTCTGCTGGGAGCAGCAGGCTCTAAACAACCAAATCTACCATTGGGTCTCACAGTGATTCATTAGAATACACAGAGCAGAGTGGGCTCTTGGAAACACAAAGAGAAAAGAGAGGGGCTCCTGAGTAATCCATATGTCACCAAAAAAAATTAGTTTAGTACTTATTTTTGTTTAAATTCATTGCATAGCCATAATAGTGTTGAAGCTAAAGCAAGAGAAAAGAATCCCCTTAAAAAAAGGTTATCCATAGAAATATAATAACATTATAGTCAAATTAAATGAGAGTAACAGAAGGACATACTGAAGTGAGTGTTATGTTTTTGTCTGCAGCTGAACAATCTGTCATTTGTCTCTCAGTCAACTGTGAGGTCCAAAGGATTTCATGACCAAAACATAGTGAAAAGTCTTGAATGTGAAAAAAGACTATTTGTTGTTTTTTATGACCAAGCTGAAAATATGTCCACGAGTGCCACAACGAACAAAAAAGTAGCTTCTATTCTATTATATTGAGATGGTGGCGGGTAAGAGTAGCGGCTGAAATGGTGGCCTTTGTGCACAAATTCAGAGTTCTTCAAAATGTTGGGAGTCAAGATTGAAATGCAACAAATCTTGAACACGGTAGCATCATTTGTTAAAGCGCGTGTGTCACGCTAGTAGCCCCGTATGTAGCCTTGAGGCGCTAGGCTCATGCACAGCTGAGAAGTGGTCTGTTAAACTCACTTTTTTCAAACTCTACACGCGGACTCAAGTGACATCACTTGTTTAGCAGACTTCACACAGCTCTTTCTGAAGCCACAAAAGGCCTCATACTGCTTTCTTTCCTCCACATATGCAGTAGTTTTCCCCAAAATCTGTAAACAGAGCTTGGTGTGTGAAAGATAGAGATATGCAAACTCAATACAAGATATAATTCTCTTCGGGCAAATTGGGTTTTGTAATGTGCAAAAGAGCAGATCTTTATTGCGTTCCCACGGTTTATGTTACACTACCGTTTGGAATCTGAAATTCTAAATCTCAGGCCCAGGTGGCATTCAGCCTCTTTTGAGGTGGTGATTGCCTGGGTGTACATTCAAACTTTCAGGCAATCTTGTTCTTTAAAATAACAAACAAAGGAAGCCGCTAATAGCTAGTGGATAATGAATGCAAGTTCATTCTAATAACACCCTTTAACAAATTTGTTTTCGTCCAGGACTGCACAGTAACAGCTTGACTAACTGTAATGAGGCAATGTGATGGATCTTTACAAAGAGCAGAGTCGGGGTGTGAAGCCATGGGCCATACAGTTTTGTTCCAGTGCACAAAAACCACATATTTATAGAAATACGGGGCTTAGAGGGAACCGTAAGTGTTATTTAAAACAAAACAATCGAACATTGAAAGAAGCCAATCCATCAACTATGTGCTTGCTCTTACATTTTGTAACGCAAACTAACACGTAGAGTATAAAAATCTCATTCAGGTTGGTTTATCCCCAGAAATGAATATACAATTTGTTTTTCTTAATATAGCTGATGCATATCTTTAGTGCACTCCATACCCACATAGTGGAGAAACTACACAGCCCTTTGCATGCATGCAAAATATACTCACCACTCATTTCACCGAACACGAAATCAGCACATTCACCCTAAAAGCTGTGAGGATTTTCTGTCATATGCTTTTACGTTAGGATACTAGCTTATACAAGAGAGAAGAAGGATTTCTTTTGACACATATGTTCAAGGAGCAAAGGAGGAGAAAAAAAAAGTGTTGAACTGATTTCAATGTGAATTTTCTTGCCTCTAGTGTATATGTGTAATTACATGTGAATTGTACTGTAAATATGATATCTTTCACTTAATAGTTCTTAATGCATGAACAAAAACATGGCAGTTCGTAATACCAGCTAGCCTCACTGCTAATGGCATGGACAGCTTCTCTAGCATTGGCATACTTCTGCAAACAAAACCTAAAAAATGAAACACAAGAAATACATGGTGTCAACAAAATAATGGAGAAATCAATGCAAAGTCCTCTCACAGGGAAGGAGTTTCTGGCGGCTCTGAGCTTATATTGGCCCACCTAGTCCCTCAAGAACAAGGCTAACGCTAATGCTGCTGGAAACTACTGGAAATTACAGTAAGCCTTGGTTCTCTGTCAGCAAATCGGATGGTGCCATCTTGAATGAAATTCTCTCATTGGGCTTTTCCCATTTACAAAATAGAATCTAGGATTTGTGGCAGATTGCAGAGCGGTATACCTGCAGCGTTTGCCTCAGCCGTTAACAAACAATCAATAACAATATTAAGGGCGTGATCGGCTAGCTGGCTTATAGAGGCTAGAGGAGCAGGATAGCCTTAAGAAGGCGAGTGGTGTGCTCTGTCCTGTTCCTCAATAAGACAGTCGTATGTGCCCATGAGCAAGGCACTTAGTCAATTGCCCCAGTGCAGCTGCTCAATTGCTAAGAACAGAAGTTTGTTCCCGTGGAGGTAAATTATCTTTACCTACAGTATGTGAGGCAATCCATGGGACGTTGTCCCCCAGATTAATGCAACTAGTTAAAAATGTTCCACAAATGCCCCTTGGTTTCTGTTGAAGTAGCCAGATAATGTTGTGTGATAAAACTTCTCATCAGTTTTACAAGCCGGGATCAAAAATGGTAAAAAGTAATGAATTACGTCTTTTTTTGTTGACCCGTCTTCATGTTAGGCCTTTTCATCTGGGATTACACCACTCCCCAATAAAAAATGTGCATGAGGAGTTATGAATACCACTGAGGCTAAATGAGTGGACCACAAACATACAAGAAAATTTCATCCACCAAGCACCAGAACGTGGCTGACAGACTCCTCCATGTTGGAAGAGCTTTTGCTGGTGCATTCATTATTTTGTATGTACTGTACCTTGTAGGTTTTGTTTTGCATGACCTGAGTTTTGAAAGGTTTATTTTAATATATTTCTACTCCACGCCATCCGATTCATCTTCACAGCCAGGAAAAGAAAGATCCAGTGTTTACATGCTCAAATTGCACTTGTTTTACAGCCAGCTTTTCAAATCTTGTGATCAAACTGTTTGTAAGACTGGAAGAAAAATGTAAACGTGTAGAATTTACATGGAGTGATTCGTGTCAATCATGAATATGCATCTCTATACAGTGTATTTACTGTAAATCACACAAATTGGAATACATGCACCAAGTGCATGCTGTAGATTTATAAGGTTCAGCATAAGCATTAACATCAATTGCCCTTCAACTACAAAGGATGTAAAGGATGCTCATCAGTAGCATCTGAACGTAAGCCATGTGATTGCACACTGAGTGAGTGTTCCCTGTGTATTCTCTTCAATAAGTTGCCTCTAGTTATGGTCTGTTGTTGATTACTGTATGATGATGCCAGCAAGAAGCTGTCCTGATTCCCAGTGACACATCAGTTTACCTCCCTCCTTGAAAATAATACAAGGGAGACTAACTCATCTTTGACCAGTGAGTAAGAAAGATTTTCCAACACTTTATAAAAAAATGGCAATGAGAAGAAAGAAACCCACAAGACCAACAGTCCGTTTTTTTTCAAAATGAATTGGTAAATGATTGGGTTCATTTTTTGTGTTCACTTCTGATTTATTGTATTTGTTGCATTTGTTATGGATTGTTATACTTACTGTTGTTGTTTTATCATAAGAAGGAAATTCATTTTTATCTGGCACTGGAAGAAAAATGCATTTGGTTTTTGTACTGTAATAGTTTTGTTCACATTGGGCGCTTATTTGATTCAGTTGTTTAATAAGGTGTATGATTTCATTTGGAGTATCAGTACTCATGGAATCAACATTTGTGTAGTATGAAGTTGTATTTTTTTGTCAGTGCAAATTAATGTTATAGTGTCAATCAGCTTTTCTAGGTGTTTGAACAAAATGTGTTTTTTACAAATACAAAGTGTTCAAGTATGTGGTATAAAAAGGGTTATCATTCAAACAACAGACTTTTTACAAATAAAGGCTTATACAGTAAAGGAAAATTAATGTCTTTTCATTTGCCCTTTGAGGACTAATATACTACACTGTTTCATTTGATGGCTTATTCATTTATTTTCAGATATTAGTCCACAAAAGGTAAATAGGATACAATGTTGCAAATTAAGAAGACTAAATCAGGTATTTGCCGTTGCCATGCCAGGTTGTTGTCAGAGCGTTTACCTCTTAGTTGGTGTCTTGCTTTTGATAGGAGCTTTGGACACAAATACAGTCCAAACACAAAAATTTAATAAAAAATCAACATTATCTTATCCTTTAATTTGATTAAACATTGCGCTTTAATGAGAATATACCTCCTTTCATACCCTATTTCCTGAATAAAGACACAAAGTGACACCTTCTGTCAAGTGTAATATTTCAACCCTTCAATTAAATTTTTTTACATTGTAGACAACAAAGATAAAATTATTTACTGCTGGACAGGTTGGGCAAAGTAGAGTTGATCAAAATCTGTGTCAGCTTGGGTTACGCACCTACAAAGCACAAGTTAATTAACTAGTTTTGTTAGAGGGACAGATGCAGTTGAAACTCTGCTGAAATTTTTGTTCCTCTATTGGAGGACAAGAGGATTTATATGGTAACACATTCTGGCTTTTTTTGGAGCAGAGAACAATAATGATCCAGTAAGACATTTGACACATTATGGTTCCCAGATAATGTTTCTAAAGATTAGGAAACAACGTATTGCTCTCCAAACTAGCTCACTGATTTTATAGATTCATAGGAAAGGAAGTTTGAATGTCTCTCCCTCCACTTGTCCAAAGCACAATCTCCGTCTAAAAAACTACCAACATTTAAAGAGCTATCACTCCAAATAAACCAAATACAGTTTGAAGGATTTATCAAGTGCTGTGGTTGCATATTGCAACCAACTGAATGTTCTTTGTGTGCTAATAAGCCTGTAAAACAGCTATGGTTGTTGGCACCAAAAACACAAAAAATGGGAATGGCCTCATCTAGAGCCGGTTTGTCCATTTTGTTCTGCAGAATCACAGCGGTGCAACTCCTAGAAAAAGATCCACTACAGAGGAAACAAAAACCCAATCTAAGTAGATAATATACTCACTTAAATTGAAATGATCTGTTATCTGTTTAAATCAGTCATATTTGTAGACACATCTGGAAAACCAAGATCTAACAGTTCAGATCAAATTTTTCATATATTCAACCAGGTATGGACGTCCCAGGCCTCACTGCGTATAGCAATGTTCACTCCGTGTCTTTGTGGATGTCCTTGGGGTGTTGTGGTCTCCTTTCACATTCTGAAGATATGGTAGGACCACTGGAGACTCTAAATTGCCTGTAGGTGTGAATGTGTGTCAACATGCGTGTTAGCTATGTGATAGACTGGTAACATGTCCACACCTGACACCCAGTGCATGCTGGGATAGGTTCTTAGTTCCCAGTGACCCTTAACAGGATAAGCAGTTAGGAAAATGGATAAGTAGTTTTATATGTCAAACTCTGAAATGAATGTGTGTATGACAATGTATTCATAATGTATATAACGAGAAAAAACAATGGTTAGCCTATAAGCTGCTAACCAAACTCAACAGGTACCAGAATTTAATGTTAGTTGCATTGATGACTTCATTAATGATTTTGGATTTTGGACAACACTGATGCATCAATGTTCTCAGGAGCAGAGTGTCATGTTTGAATTTGTTTCTTATAGTCCCTTATGATTTAAAAATATTATTGTAATACTAATACCGCACAGTCCAGGGCATTAGAGATCAAATGTAATGCATGTTATGTTACCAAGCTTGTTCCTTGGAATCCTGCCTGAAAAAACACAAACGTATTTCAAAGGCACACTGGGTGATTTGGAGAAACTAGCAAGAGCACAGCGGCAACAATACTAGCATGCAGATGTTCAGAAGGCTCAACATCTTAGTGTGGTACTTTAGCATGCTGCCATTAGCTAATTAGCAAAGTACAGCTGAGGCTTATGGGAATTTAATTTGGCAACTATTCACTCACAAACTTCCAACTTTGACCAGATGATCAACCCATGAGAATACATCTTCTATTTATCATGAGTGTCTGTACATATTGTTGTACCGATCCATCAAATTGCAATATCTCACAAGATGAGCGCACGCTGATGATAGGGTCAGAGAAAATGTCCAATTTACCTCCCGGCTATTGATACCAGCAGCCAGGAGAAGTTATCCTATGGGCACCATAAATGTCAGTACATACTTCAAATCCAATTAATTAAAACGTTTTTAGAAATTAACGTCTGGACCCATATGGCCATCCGGAAAAACAAGGACTATATTCTCACATCAAAATGACAATGAAATCAATATAAATTCAGCTAGAAATATATATATATAGACAATATATGTACTGTGACATGATCTGTGGTGGATTACTGTATGTGGTTTGGTCTGTTTCATTATAGTTGGTCAATGTTTTGGTAAAAGCGACCAACCTTTGGTGACAAAAGAATAGAATAGGTTTGTATTTCCAATCAGCACTACGAAATAGGATTTCATTCAAAATGTCAAATAATGTTGCTAAGTTAACTGTGAGATTTGAATTATATGCCAAATTAGACATTAAGGAAACATTTGTGGAAAATATTTCAAGATACTCAAGAAGGTGTTTCAACAAGGTGTCACCGTTAAGCTTGTCACGCCGATGATGGTCTACAAATATTTTGATGCCCTGGTAAAAAAAAGGACAACGTGCCAAGCTGGATGGCAGCTGTAGGCCCAACGTCTAGAAATGCGAAATAGCCATTAAGATAATAGCTAGCGCCTAGCTAGTACTTTACCTCACTTTTTTCAGAGATCCCTATTTTACGCTCCATATCACTTCTTTTTTGAGACATTGCTTTTTTACTATAAATAATCCATACGGGCAAGAAAGGGCATGCAGCCGGAGAGAATCATTCACTAAATTTCGGTTCAGTGTAAAGAATGTACTATATGTACTTTTAAACATTTTAAAAATGCATATATCCTGTAGTCAGATTTGTAATGTGTTGTGTATTTGTGAATTATTTTCTCAACCTCGAACCCGAGATTCTACGATGACTCTTTGTATAGCTCTGCCAATCCCAGAATTTATACAAGAATGAGGTCAGACATAACATTTTATTTTTAAGAAATAAATGAACTCCCTAATAGATAACCATTAAAAACTAAGACAGAATCAATGCCACTAATGTGAGAGTGCAATAAAAAGTGGTTGCAAAGCATGTGGTTTGGAAAAGGAGTTTACAACACACCGAAAATAAATTCAGAGATAAGATTTCCTCCTACTGAGTTTTGCTTAAGACAAAATGGCTGAAGAGTTGTTAGGAACACAGAACCACGGTGCTGAGCTCTATCGTTGTTGCAGTGGGGTGCGTTTCGTCATGCTTAGCCTCCTCTAACTGCGACCGATGTAATGATCTTCTCCTGGCATATCCCCCTTTGAATACAAGGCAGATTTAATGCACAGGTTTGTCCCCCAATTGATTTCTTTTCATTTCTCCTCAGTTGCCTCCACCGGGCACAATCGACAGTTGATTACACCGCTAAGTGAGTTCACCTTGAGAGGAGCTAAGATATATAAGATAAGGATTTTAAAGAGATCAACCTATATTAAATCAAGATCAAATTATACGCTGTACAACTTTACAAAAACAACTACAAAACCAAAATATGTGTGAATACTTTTACTGCTTCATTTCAACGCTGGTGTTTAGTGCGGATTAAAGATAACAGGTTCAGTGTCGCTGTATTCACTGCTATCTTTCTCGCTTTGCATCGGAGTGCATGGATCTGTTGAGAAGATGGAAGGAGCCCAGTAAAATACACCTTCCATTTCTGGGTTCTATTGTCAGCACTCCATATAAAAACATAAAATATTGAAAGGGTGCATTAACATGGGTCAGGAATGGATGGCTATTCCACAGTGGAACGGGGGGAGGGGGGACGTAAAGTGGCCAACAAGCAGTGGATGTGGATGCATTAGTTTAGCGGCTTCGAATGTTTGTGATTTATGCCACGTATGTACTTTAAATAAATGGTATTAACGCAAACTAACCGAGGCATTTAGATTTATCTGCAGTCTTTTTTGGAATTTAGAGGTTATAGAAATGATCATTGATGCTGAGCTGTTACAGCTTTGATTGATAGAACCGTGTAATGTTTAAATTCAATCCAGTATTTCTAACAAAACTCTCGTCAACCATTAGTGTAGATGTAGCACAGGGGTGCCACTCATTCAGGGGCAGGATGTGCCATTTCCAAGGGATTACTGGAACTGATTTTCTGCCGGGATTGGCTGGATAAATAAAGTCTGCTAAAACCACCATTATTTAGTCAGTAAAGAGTTAAATCTGTTAATGTTTCTCCCCCAAAACGAATCACATATTCTTTAAGCATCACCTTTGACATGATAAAATGTCAAGCATGCCTCTCTTGTTGTGCGGCAGGTCCATCTATTTTCCTTTTACCGGATGTTCTTCTGTGTTGCCATGGAGTTCTTGTTTAGGCGTTGGAAAGAGATTGAAGAGACGAGGGAGAAGGGTGGAGACATAATATGTCCAATAAAATATTAAGACAGATCTCTTTTATGCATTGTGACCACATCTCCACCTCTAAATCCAAACCCCCCCACCCGCAGGGGGAATCATTTAGAATATCTGAGGGTTTTGGGTAAAGGGTGGTGGTGATCATGGAGGAGAAAAAGGTGAGATTATACCTACATATACATATGTGCCAAAAGAAAATGCAAACTCTGCACATTGTGTGATAATGTAACTGAGGAGCTGTACATACCATCAGTGTCAAAGTCCATTTTAACAATTAATTGATACTGCATGGCTTTGTTTGAGCTCACAACCCTCCCACATTTGCATTATTCTATGAATATCAATCAGCGCTCAAGATCTCATTTTAAAACACTGAAATTTCTCTCCAATATTTCATGTAGGACATTTAGAAAACGTGCAAAAATTCCTCAAAACATTAGTTTGGTATCGTGTGGAAAACCCAAAGTGCTTCTTGCCAAGCTTACATTTTCACAGGTCAAGACACATTCAATCCCACTTCCCTGGCAAATGTGCTCTTTAATTTATTTTGGCATTTTCCCTGGAAAGAATGCCGTCACCGAAGGACAGATTTCATATGATCAAATAAGACATTAGACAGTGTGGATATGGAAAGTGTAATTCTTGTTTTTGTCAATAAGGGTCAACTATATGCTGGCTCCTTTTTCACTGGCAGCACTTTATGAACGATATGAACGTACTTTGAGGGCACCACTGACGGGCTGTCAATCAAGCACTGTCTGCTGATGTAAACTTTCTCCCTTCCTCTGCCCTTTGTTCCACACTCACTTCCGCTTACACGTTCATGACAGGTCATCTTCACCAAGAACAGACTGAATTTAAAAGATGACAAAAGAATCTAGAAGCTTGTACATCGCTTTATATAATCTATATTTATGGATGTATACATATATCTTTGCGTAAGCAGCATTTCATGCTTTTGATTCCATTGTGAGACAATATTTCCGTGTCACTGCATTTGGCTTTTTGTGCCGAGACGAGAAAAAATAAATGCAAAGGAGACCTTTTCTTCTGTGCGAGTCAGATGATGTTGCATGTGACTGTTTGTCGTTTTGGGGTCTTGTTCTTGCATATGTTTTGGTTTTTTAACATTGCCATTACTTAATGTAATGTGGTTGCTTGGTACCTGGAGTGGATATTGTGCAACATCTCTATACATGTATGTATGTGTATATATGTGTCCGTACATTTTTATTTTTTTACCCCCTGTTGAGAGAAGGAGAATGCCAGTGTGTGGCGCTCCTGGCTCTGATGCCATCAACATGGTCTCCCTGCACCCTCAAACACAAACACACCTACACACACACACACCCACATCATCTAGGAGCCTGACCTGTCATCTGCTGGCCAACTTCTGAACTGCATTGCAGGGCTCCTTATAGCAACCACAGTAACAGTATTCCAAACTATAGGCTACTGCTACCAAATCCACCTTAAGTAAAAACATTGCTACAATGACCAACTAATACATATTTGATTGTATGATGTTGTTGTTGATGCAAAAGCTACCTTTAAATAAGTCTTTCAAAGAGGAAAAGAAACACTTGCTCCTGCTCAGCCAAATCTCCGATTCACAGCTCCTTGCAATCGGCTGACGGGGAAACACCGGTTGGAGTGGGTGGAGGAATAAGTGTGTGTGGAATCCTGTGAATCCTGCTGGAGGTTTATGTAGGACAGAGTTTCAGGCCCAGAAACCTTAATTTCACTGTGTGAGAAGCTCTTTAGTTTTATGCTTCACTGGCCCTCCACTCACATTCAAATTCTCATCTGCATTAATAACTATTAATGTGACTGGAACGTTGTTACGTTAAAGGTTGCACATAAGTAGTACACCACACCATGCACGCATGACCCACAAAATCAGAATCAAAAGACATTTATTGCCACATTTATTACACATAGAGGAATGTGATAAGTTGGTGCAATATAAGAATAAAAAAGAAATAAGATGAAGTAAAATAAGATACAAATATAAAAGCAAAATGAGATAGATAATTAGATTAGACAGGACTACGTGTGCAAACATTCTGATATGTACGTTGTGGCAGGCTGTCATAGATACTGACACAAGATCAAACACAAGATAAGAAGTCTGATCTCCACTGAAATAAATAACCGCTACCAATACAGCAGGGGAGCATTCATTATCATTCTAATGTTAGAATGGATAATCAGCACATCCTAAATGAAATCACAAGATTGCGTTATTTATTTTTTCTTTCCCCACTCATCTTTCCTTCCCTCTCTCCCTCTCTTATCTCTTATGTTGGCACCGGTTCCTGAATGCTTATTCGTTTCGGATCTTGAACAGTTGCTCATGAGTCGTCTTGTTGATTTTATTTATTGTAAATGTGCCCCTTGTTGTTACACAGTACAGTTTTGCCCAAACGGGTTCGTTTCTGCAGACAAAGTCTTGAGACACTAAGCTCACTTCCTTTCCTCTCATGTTAGTTTCTCCTAGATAATAAGCTCCACATGCCTCCGTCCACCATCCACCTCATCCAACGCCCCCCCGTGTCACCCCTTCCGTCACCCCCGATCAACATTTTTCACGTCGTTAATTGCTTATGTCAGCTTCTGGTAATTACAGACAATTAATCATGTGTGATTCACTGTCTCTCTCTGTAAGCATTGTGCTCCACGCTGTGCTGAGCAAAAGCGACAAAGGTGAAACTGCCTTTTATTAAGTAGGCAGAGCCAGGGAGTGAACTCCCCAATGATAAGCAGCATGTTGCAGTGCCTTGGCTTACACTTCCTGGAGGCCAGCGATAAAGGCCAGGTGGAGATTAAATTACATTAATTCCTTCGCCAGAAGCCATGACCCAGAATGACTTACAAGACAAGAAGGTGGGAGTGATGAGCTGTAGTGAAACTACTGCCAAAGTACTGAAAATGAATCAGTGTCACAACACACTCTGGTCCTAACCTGCCTCATGAAGTAAACAACCTAAGAACAGACAACTGCACTGACTAAAAAAACACTTTAACTTCTGTGCAGTGATTTACAATTCACACCAAATTCCTCATAAATGTCAGTGGGAGTTATTCCCATCTGCTCCCGCTCAAAATTATTAACGGCCAAATTGACGCCTTTCCTAAACCACAACAGAGTACACACACCCAGTCTGGCAAACACTGATATACAAACATTCTGTTATCAACATCCTCGCTAAAAGCCAGTCGGTGGTGAAGAGCGCAAGAGGTTCATTCCTTCAGTGAACTACGGTGTACAACGTTGTGTGAAGATGTGCCCCACGCTGCGCCTATTGGTGCTTATTAGCATAGCAGGTAGGTACATTTACTGCTTCTTCCTTTTATCTCCATAGTAGTATTTGTATGTGCTGGTCGGAATTACATGGTGATTTGAGGGATGTTGGATTTTGGATTAAACTTGGTTGTTTTTGTAGGATTTGTTGAACCGATCTCCGTCAGCACTCCGCAGAAACACGTCAACGTTACAATGGGCGAGAGCGCCCTGCTCCAATGTACGTTTGAGTCCACTGACCAGACCGCAGGACTCACCATCCAGTGGGACTTTGTTTCACCGCCCTCCATGACGCCACAGCAGGTAGAGACAGACTGCGGCCCACATCAGCGCTTTGCACCACAATGTGCTTAAAATGTGTCAAATTACCTACTGGGATCCTTCATACTGTAACATCAGGTTTAGTATCAGAATATTTCAAATGAAACAAACTGAACACAAAAGCAACCTTTTCCTCTCCACGTTGAGTTTCAGTCCAGGAGTTGCCACTGTTTGTTTAATGACTGCAGAAAGATTTGAGCGATAATGATTCTTTGACACACAAAGCGAATTTGTGTGTGTGTGCGTGAATTAGTAATACACTTAAAAATGAGGCTGGTTGGGTGTACACGTTGGATGTGTTATTCGGGAGATATGTTCCAGTTGTTTTGTGGTTTAAATGAACTTCATCTCAAATCTTGAACATTCATATCTTGTGCAAAGTTGGCGCCTTTTTTGAATATGCCATTGCCACACCTTAAAGAGACGACAAAGCACGTAACTGGTAAACAAGATACAAGCAGATTTAATAATAACAAAACAAGCCTCACAAGCAGTCTGATTATTGTGACGAATTTCAAATTGACTTAACTGGACAACATATTTCTAATTAGCTGCAGTTACTTTTTAAAACGCTACCTTCCACTGGATGTAATTACACTAAAGGTCATTCATTTCAGCTCTGTGGACCTTATTTCTACTCAACAATGGTTTTAATAATCTTAAGTTTCATTCAAAAGAAATATTCTTAAAGTAGTGCACAACTTAGGAAGCAAAGACTAACTAAAATGGTTTTTTTTTAAGATTAATTAAACAGTATATTCACAAGAAATTGTGCTTTTATACGGTCTAACTTGCGGCAATTGGCTTTCAGGTGTTTTACTATCAGAAAGGAGAGAATGTCATCCCCAGTCCTTACAAAGGCCGGGTTCGGCCTCCCCAGTCTCCCGGCCCGACCAAAAACGCTTCAATAACCATAAGCAACATGCAACCCTCAGATGCCGGCGTCTACACTTGTCAGATTCACAACTTTCCTGATGTGGTCGGACAGTCTGAGGCAAATGTCGTTGTGAATGTTCTTGGTAAGTTAACGACAGAGGGGTTAAAAAAATGTTTTTTACCATCTTGTGTGAAGTGAAAGGTTTGCTGACGAGGAGCTTTAAATATTGGATGTATACTTTAAATATAATCAAGGCACTTTGAAGGCTGTGAGGAATTGCTTCAAGTAGAATGAAAAGCAGTCAAATAAAAATGAACTGAGAGTCAGAGTACCAGTACCAATCTGAAGATCACAGAGAGGTGCACAATAGGTGTGTAGGAGATTTTATATTACTGGACCACACCCGTTTCAGTATAACATTGACATTATGACAGAATGTAGAAGTGGTATAATTTATGTGCCTGCGAAGTATGATCATACCAGCGTTCAGACCTGGAACCGAGTGTTTATCTGACAGAATGAGCTGCTGGTGCTGTTAAAACAGAGAAAAGAAATAGCTAAAACAAACGTACCAAACCCTTATCTGATTCTCGTGCTGTTTTTTTCTGCCAGTATTCTACTGCTCATAAGGGTGTGGCTGCCTGAAATGGGAGAGCCAGAGCACATTGGTTTCTAAACCGACAGTTTTGTATTTAATTTGCAATGCAAATTCCTTAATTCCACACTAATAATGGAATAGGATGTCATGTTTGAGTGAGCTACTCAATATTTTCTAACACCAAATCCCAGTGTCGATTACTGTAGGAAGAAAGAGTACTTTGAAATATAATTGTGCTGAGATTGCTGTATCTTTTATCACTGTTGTTAACAGTGGCCCTGAATAGTGTGATTAGGGAATTATATTCAGTTTGAATCCTCTCGTTCACTGAGTTACCAGGGACAACCTCTCAGTATCCTCGGTAGTTTCCATGGTTACTGCAGCAGTCTCCTCGTTGTCGGCATTGGAAATTAGATTAGGACTGTGACTGCACCCTTGTAGTGCATACAGACTTATATATCAGCATCCGCTGCATGCAAAACACACGTGCTGTCTTTTCATTACCTCAATAAAAATATGTAAATATCTATACTCATCAGGAGATCACTTAATGTTACATGAGAAATGATGGTATTACTGAAAAGAGAGGAGGAACTCTGTCCTGGATAAAAAATAGGTTTGTGATCTTTAGCCTTACAGTGAAAACCGAAGATGTAAAAACAACAAGGTTATGTCATTTTAAAGAGCTGGCCAGTCAATACAATGCAATCCTTATGATTAGTTGGCACCATAGGGATCAGCCCAGAAGTTTCAAGGCCACTTCCAACAAACTTCCTGCCACGTGATGACCACTTGGCGGACAACGTTTTTGATTAACAATAAGAAAAGAAATTGTCATTTTTTTCAAACTCAAATATTCATATATTTATACTCATCTTTTCTCTGGAATCCAATCATTTTGTCTAAAAAAACAGAAACAATGAGCGGCCGGTAGCATTAAAGATCCTATTAGTTTAGTCTTTAACCAATGAAATAGATGGGCTGTAATAAATACACAAGATGGTATGAGCCAATTTTGCAGCAGCACTGCAAAATAATGCAAATGTATTGTAAATAGTAAAAGAGAAAAAATCCAATTTTCCAAGTGATAAAATCTAACAATATCAACATATCAGGTTTGGAAGAAGCTGGCAGTGATTGACTGACAATTGGTTAAAACACAATCATATTGCGCTTGTTCAACCAAACCATCCAGGGTCCATCCAGTCTTTTGGAAATTGTATAATAATATAGAATATCAATACCTATTACTAATTGAATATGTGCTCTGTGACAATAACAGGTAAAGCTACAAAATATAAAGTCTCCTATAGGCTAATCAGAATCAGAATTAGCTTTACGTGCAATTTAAATCTTTTTTTTCCTTTGCTCACCACATGATGTATCCTCCTTGTCCACAGAGAAGCCCACTACTCCTTATTGCGCCGTGCATGGTGATGTTGAATCGGGTCACCTGGTCACTCTGACCTGCCACAGTGAGCGTGGGAGCCCGAACCCGATATACACTTGGATCAGACTGGATCAGACTAAGACAAGGCGGCCTGTACTGGGAAGAGGTCAGTACTCCGAGCTCTGTGTGTATGTGTGTGTAAATTAGTAATATAGTTTTTCTTATGTACGAGTATTTTTTCCTTCAGCAACTGAAACGGGAATATTGGAAATCAGAAACATATCCCAGTTTGAGTTCGGGGAGTACCAGTGCACTGCTACAAATGCGGCCGGATTTTCAACATGCACTATAGAGCTGTCTGCTGGTATGTTAGAAGGTTGTTGTTTTTTTGATGATGTGAAGAAAAATCTTTAAAACAACACAAATACTAAAAAGGCTTGATTCACTTATATTTGCACAGAAGCGAAAGACGGAGTGATTGCTGGTGCAGTTATCGGCGCGATGCTCGGGTGCGTCCTGATCATTCTGGTTGTGTGGTTCGTTGCTCACACTCTGAAGAAACACAAATACAACAGGGTCAAAAAATCAGAGGCCAATGAGATGAAGTAAGGTGTTGTTGCATTTCACTATGTCATTCCAACTCCCATTCCTACAAATTGTGTGACACCAACTCTCTGCCACCAGGAGGAGCTCTCCTCAGGCCCAGGAAGCTCCAGATAGCGTTACCCTGGCAACCCCAGCCGGCAACCTCCATGCTGAGAGAGATGAGCCACAAGCCTAAAATAAAGGCCCGTTGAAAACAAATGGAGCGACGTCACCCTTCTGAACAACACGGTGTCCAGGATGTTCAATCGTTGACATGCGTCATTCACAACCATAATCAATGTTACAGAGCTGACGTTTGTGTTTATATTTGCTAAATCATGAAGCTATTATGCTCTCTATCCATTCAATCATTAACACGTCTTCAACGTGTTTTTGTTTTTACTTAACATTTTTTCATTCTATAATTTGCTTTACCAATTCATAGTTAGTGTGCCAATCGAACCATGTCGAAGAGCCCTGCATTAGTCCTACAGTACATGCTACATATTAGAAGAAACCCATTTATTGTATGAAACAAACATTTAAAGAGTAGACTCGAGGGTAGAATTTACACTGTGCCAATAATCAGTATGATTACCTTTTATACGTAAATAAATTATTGTGTTTACGCAAAAAAGAAATGTTACTCCTACATTCAAATAATTCTGTATGATCAAATATCTTCATGGCTCAATGAGACCACTGTTTGCAATGAAAAGATCCAGTGGAGTCTTCGCTTGTCAGAGCAGAGTCAAGTAACTCTCCCTCTGTGTTTGTTGTAATCAGAGCTTTTCGCTTTATTGACATAGCTGGTTAGCAGCGTTAGCACTGAACCGCCAGCTCAGCCGTTGCCATACTAAGCCCTGCTGAGAGGTAATAGAAACGCTCCCAATTTTGTATGCAACACCTTTCAGTTTGACAATTAATATATTTACATTTTTTAATTAAATGGATTTATTAATTCTACAAACTAAAATCCCAAAAGGATAAACAGATTCCTCCATTTTTAGTTCATCTTCTTTAATGCAAACGGTCAAGCAGCTATAGAAGAAGCGTGATGACGTCATGACATCCTGAGATTCTGATTAAATAAAATATGCTGTTTGCTGATTCATTGTCTCTTGTGGTTTATAATTGACATCGAGTTTTAACAAGGTAGCAGCAAAATTAATATGCAGCCTCAAAATCTGCATCACTCAAACAAGCTTGTTGACTTTTAACTTTCAGTCTGCTTTCAGTTTCCGCTGCAGTATGCAACATATGCAACATCGCCATCATGCACCACCATTTTTGTTCGCCAAGACTATTTTATTTGCAGATAAATAAGAAAACAGATTCTCATGCAATGACTTGATTAGATCTGCAGATTGGTGGACACACGTCCTAAGAACAATGATGTTCAGATTTGTTTGCTTTTAGATTGAGATGATGTCATTAGTACAAATATATCTCGCCTACAAAATACAATAATCCAACAATGTCTCGGTAGTGTTGGATTGACTCACTATTTTGCTCCAGACCTAAAGATAAATCAGAGCTTGGTTGTTTGTTTTGGTGTACTGGGATGGGCTCTCGTCCATGTTAATACATGCCAGAATGAGAGAGTGACCTCATGAAACTTGTGAAAAGCAGCTTGGCCCCCAAATAAAAGTGTTCTCTTTAGTTTTATTTTTTTTTCTGCATCATAAAAAGGCACCACAACTAAACATTTTTTTCACAAAGGCAATATATGAAGCCGGAAGCTAAGTGCTAATTAATGAGGCACGTAGGTGAAGGAACCTCCATGTCCAGCATCAGGCCAGCAGACCGAAGCCGCGTGCGGAGCTGAGGACGTCGTCTCTGGTCAAATAGCATCCACAGAGCTGCCGGAGGCCAGTGAAAGACTCCCGCCCGTGCATCACACGCCAGTTGTCTATGAAAATCACCTGATGAAGAAAAGAGAAGATTCTTAGATCATACCGAATCACACTCACGCTTTGGCGATTCAGAACTTTCTTACTTTTCCTGGAGTCAGTTTCACCCACAGCTCGTTCTCTGGCCGCCTTAGTTCTGTAGTCAAGTCTCGATGTGCCGCGTACCATCGCTGAATAAGGTCATGGGGTACTGTATTTATCACCGATCGGTCATAGTTGTTGTATCTGTTGAAAAAAAATTTCTTTAAACTTTTTCATACTTATAAAACTACTTAAAAACAGAATGTACAAATAACAAGAAATGACATCAGCAAACTACAGAAGAACTATAAAGTTTCTAGAAAACCTTTTAGTGGGAACAAGTTTTCTTCATGGTATACTCAAGAAAATCCATGAAAAATTGACATGGAATATAAAGCTTTACTAAAAATGTAAACATCTTACAATTCACTCCTGCACAAAGTATTTAAAGCAGGGGTCTCAAACTCGCGGCCCGCGGGCCAATTGCGGCCCTCGGGACGATATTTTGTGGCCCCCACCTTCATATGAAAGTGTAATGTTAGTGCGGCCCGCGAGTTCTATATTGTAGCAACCTCGCTGTTAGCAGCCACTTACAACCTCCACCCCAGCGCCGACCGTTCCGTTCGCCGGTCGGACCGTCAGTGTCATCCCCCCCGTCGGCCATAACGGTCTGGCCCGCGTTCGGTCGAGGTGGGCTGCATCTGGCCCGTACCTGACTTGAGTTTGAGACCCCTGATTTAAAGAGTAAAATCACATCAAACTAACATCGGTGACGTACCGGATCAGGTACATTTCATTGTTCCAAGGATAGACGCTGAGCACCGGGCCGATCCCTGTCATGTGGTTTTGGTGGTGGTCCGAGGTTTCAATGTACTCATGCCTGATCGGCACACGTGCAAGCAGCTCATAGCTTTCAGGAGACTCCTCTCGCACTTTTTCAGCCGCGTAGAACCCGTCTACAAGTAGTGTCCGCCCCCCAGTGCCCTCGTGCTTGAGGCAGTGGAATACCTGTATTCTGTAACAGCAATCAGCTTTATTGAGTCAGAGAATAAAACTTGCTTTTATGATATGTCATAATTAAAATCACAGCGCAAAGAAAAAAGGGTTGACTTGAGGACACGTCCTGGGTTGACATCCCATATCAGCTCATCTGCGCTGCACCTACCCACATGGTTCCTGAAAGTAGGAGGTGTCAGTGTGGCGGTCCAGGGCCAGCTGGCTGTAGGCCATGTCTCCTCGAGAAAAATCGGAAGTAAAACACCACATTCTTCCGTATGTAGTTTCCCTGTTGGGATCAGTAACACAAAAAGTGGATTAGGAAGAAGTGAACGAGGCTGAATATCTTCTGAAAGCAGAGTTGCTAATGAATATAGTTGCATTAGAATGTAATTTGTAGGAGATAAAGCTTCACAGTCAGGAGTGATTACCTGATAATACTGACCCTCTGGGCCACTGTCTCTGTGGCCTCTACTGTAGCCGGGACGTCATCGACAAAAGCGATCCCGTACAGAAGATAGTTCTGAAGAAACTTCTTTACTTCATCATCACTGCTCATGAACGTGTCCCATTTGGCAGATGGTACGTTTGCATTTTTATAGATGTCGTAATTCCAAAGGATGCGCGGTTGGACTGTGGTCTTCTTCTGCGCTTCATAGCTGTTCTCAGCTAGCCAGCTCAGGCTGAACTCTGACACGTGACCTCCAGGCCCTGCGTCACAGAAATGTGGTATATTTTTACAATTATTTACAAAATGTTATATTACAAAATGATATGAAATGCTATGTATGTCATGAATATGACTTGTCTTAATCAACCATGGAGGGGATAACACCATGTGTGTGTGTAACTACACAAAATCATAAAATGATTAAAACAACAGTGTCTCAAGCTTGTTTACTCATTTAAAATTATTTTGCCTCTCACGGGACCTTGGGTGAGTGCGTGGTCAAATTTAGAAACAAACATAAATGGAAAGATAACTTTTATACTTCAGCAGATAAGGTGGTCAAGAGTACAGAAGCTTTATCTAATAAAGCTTCATTATCTCTTTCATTAGACAACCACACCCTGAGATCAACTGACAACAGGGTGAATCTGCACAAACACACCCATCCCAGGGGGAGAGGGGGGGCGGGGGGTCCACTTAAGTCAATGTGCTTTAATGATTGATTCACATCTGTATCCAGATGAGTTATTCGTAGACACAATAGACTGAATGTATTTGGTCTTTGAAGTTTTATCTGACCCACGGTTGCATGTTAAAAACGCCTTAAATCACACGTTATAGTACAGATGTATTGGTGCTTATGAGTTTTCTCTCTCGAGTCAGAGAAGCATAACGTTGTAAATGTGCGGTTTCTGCATAAGTTAGTTTGGCTATTTCCAGATGTTCCTATGGGGATAGAACTGTACTTACACGTAAGAATGAGCTGGCCCTCTTGCACGGTTGCATTTTCGGGACGGATGCCGAGGTCTACGCCGCCGGTGTCCAGCTTTCTCTGGTTAGTTTGGGAATTGTATGCCGACGGCGAGCGGCAGTGGTCCCGCAGCCACACGTAGTTAAACCGCGTGCGCGTCCCTCCGTAGTTGAGCACTGGCGAGTTGACCATGAACAACGACGGTACCGGTGAGTGTTTGGCCCTCACACTAAATATATAAGTAAATATAAATGTTTCCAAACTCACCGAGACAGTCCTCCAGTGGCTGACATGTCGGCGCTGACCCCGCGGCCCACGCGCGACTCCGCGTCATGCGCCTGGACGGCGCCTGAGAGGTTCTGAAGCCGCACAGCAGCCGCGGTTCCGCCTTTCTGAGCAGGACCCGAACGAACGTGCCCAACATCGCGAACACGATATATATATATATATATGTTTTTATCTTTAACCGCCAAACTTAAAATCACAGCCTTCCTCTTCGCCGAGAAGCCACCAACGTGAAGAGGCAGAACCGACACACATGTGCCGAGTGAATGATTACACACAGTGCAGCTGAGGGTTTGTGGTGCGCCTATATAGGTGATAAAACTAAACTCCTAAACACCTTTTTCTCTTTCCTCTTCTTCGGACCCGGTCCCCCTATTCACAATAAAAGCCCCTGCACCGGAACACTAGTGCAATAGTAGCTTACAACAGCATATACCGCTAATGTGGCTTTGCTTCACATAGTAAAATCCTTAAAGCCTACAGGCGGGTATGTTGAGCGCATGCGTGATCTCCTTGACCTCAGTACCCGGATGCACAGTATATATGGAGCGTGTGTTGAAGGAGAAGGTGACTCAACTAATGGGTCCACAGTAAGTGTGCAGCGTAGTGTGTTTGGACCCAGACAAAGGGACTCACAGAGGTGACCTCAACAAACAGAGCTGTAAAGGGTTACCCAGTCTTTACTTGGTCTAAATCTATAGTTTACGACCAAGCCACAAATAAGCAGACACAAGCATCGCAAACAGTGAATGAAACAATGAGGTGAGTTGAAAGTGGTTGATAGCAGGTGTGCAGGCAGCTGAGCGATCAGATGAGTGCCGGATTTCCTTCAGGGAATTGTTTATCTGGCCGATGTGGTCAGGACCCTGTGTCTCCAATACAGGCCTTTTCTTACAGCAGACATCTTGCCACAGCCGCAAAAACACAGATGTTGTGAACATCCACAATGTCTCTGTCCCCGTCAGGTGTCCCAATAAGCACTGACAGTGAGCCAGCATTCACAATACCAGGCTAAATTGAATTTAGACATTGTTCTCTTTATTATTCAACCCTGCTGTTGTTACTAAATCAAAATGTCTCCTGTGAAAGAAGCTCATAAATGCTTTTCCCTTCAAGGTGGTGTGTGAATGTTTTATGATGCCAGCAAAAGTGGTGTTTGTAGTGGGGTACCCCACCTTTCCTAGCTATGCTACGGGAGAGGTGGGAACCTCTGAGGGCAACCTGTATAAAGCGTCAGGAGAGGGGAAATAAGGTGGGTCTTTGACAGAGGTAGTGTGTGCTGCTCACCTAACAGCATGAGAGGCATTTTCTATTATGCAATGAGAGGCAGAGGTAAAGCTAAAGCTTGCTAACCTCATATCCAAGGACCCAGGCATCAGCAGACTCGGCCTTGTGTTGGATGGCTGATTAAGACCTGCATGTTGGCTCCCTCTGGAGTCCTTTCTGGAAATTGGATGCTTTTAATACATAAATCACATGGCTGAATACCGCTTTGCTTAACAAAAATGATCTGTTTTGGTGTCCTTCAGTACAAAGAGCAGCGGTGCACAGCCGTCTATGCAGAATGGCTTCGGCCCTGCTGCACATTTCGGTTTCCATATAAATCGGGGAGTTTAATAGAACAATATTCAATTCACTAGAAGAAAAAGATGCTACATAAATGGTGAAAGAGCAAGTGATGAATTCATTAATTGACGTGTTACAAAGTAAGCGTCTGTATGAAACTGTTATGTGCCAGGAGTGATTTGTGCAGAAGCAAATAGGGCTCTTTTATATATAGGAATACCAGACATAAACCATGGTTGTCCCATCTTCTCTGGTAATGCGTGGTTTCAGCATTGTCTTCATTGGAGTTGATTGATCAAGTCGTTTTGGGATACTAAAGTGCATTTAAACAGCTGTAAATGTAAATTTGAAATCTGAGGGAAATGACTGGAATCATCAGGGAAAACAACCAGATTTATATATTCAAATATGTAACCATCTGCTGAAACTTAGGGCCTTGTTTTTTAAATTATTAATAGTTTTTAGAACGCCCGTGTATAAATACATCACGTGATCCGTGTAGCCTAATTTCCCGTTGATAGCTAAAATTAGCACCCCGACACACGTCATATACCCTCGTTGTTTTGTAACGAAAATGTCTCCAGTGAGCTTCCGGGGGGCTTCATGCGCAGCTCTGATGAGAACGCCGCGGTAATATTGCGTTCATGTACTGTCGGAAATTTGGGTTCCCATATGATGTCCACAAACTTCTCAGAGTGAAGTATATGAAGGTGGATAGTTTATCAGAATGCATCGTTAATGGGCCATACAACACGGTAGCAACTAGTTGTTATCTTGTCAATGATTGTTTATGTCGTTTCCTCACGCCTCTCACACTTGAAATGTTCAAAATAAACAAAGTTGCTGTAGATTGTGAAATAAACACAATGGCTGTAATACATGTGCCTCCAACATGTAGAAAACAAATAACTTTGTCTTAGTTAATGTATGAGTTGATATGAAGTGTTAATATGCACGTGTATAAAAAAATATGTGCTTAAGGAATAACACACCGTAGCAAAGTAGCCCTTAATGGTGGCCTTACAAAAAGAAACGCCTAAAAAAATAACTTGTTAAACGCCCTGTTGTACTGCAGTTTTATTGTTGAAACACTTAATTCCCTTTTATTTGAATGTATAAAGGCTAGGATTGACAGCAGCATCTTGAATGCTATGATTTGGTACTTTATAGGGCGTACGTGAAGGCGGCATAAGCCCGCCCCTCTGAGCAGTCAGTCACTCAGTCGCATGTTTACTTGCTCGCGTCAGCAGTGTCCTCGCAGCAGATCCTTCGCGCGCCTCACCTGCCTGCAGCTGGACCTTCATCTGACTTTATCACACCTCCGGGCCTCCTTATCGGCCTGTCTGCTGGCTGCTGCGCAACGTCTCGCGGCAATTAGGGCCCGCCTCTTGCAGACTTTGAGCGGGGGGCACATCGTGTTCCGTCTTTTCTCCCTTCAGCTATAACGGGAAGATGACGTTAAAATCCAATAAAAACGAACCCGCTGTCGTGCTGGAGCCCGTCAGCAGCGTGCGGACCGCTCTGTCCGACCTGTACCTGGAGCATCTCCTTCAAAGCAAGCCCAAGACTGACAAGGTATGCTGTCACCTTCAATGTCTTTTCATCTGTGTCACGTTTTCGTGCCCAAGATCTTGGTGTTATACTTCTATGTTTGTTTCCGGGGAAGCAGAGCGTTGTTTTTGTTTCCCGACAATATCTCTAAAAATAGACCCGGTCGTGTTTTTGTAATAGCCGCAGTGGACTGTGGAAAAAAATATACATCATAATATACATGTCCTTCATAAAATATCTGCAGGTCTGCGTGTCTACAGGAAGTACAAGATTGCTCAGTCAGCTGTAGTTGGTTCCTACTAGACATTACATTGGCAGTTTCACTTCTGTGTTCCACCCAAAACTACATATGGAAGTCATCTGACGGTTTTTTTTTGGGGGGAAAGGGGGTTTTATCACATGTCACACGTCATCACAACGAGCCTAAACTCCGGCTGCAACTACAAGTGCTGCTGCTGATCCGTGTGAGCTTGTTTACTACATCACACTCCAACCCAGGCGGTTATTTCAGACAATAACTTCAAGTTAAAAGACACATTATGTTGCAAAATCCCAGTGCCTTTAAAGCTGGGCAACATGTGTGGACACAGTACACTACAGGAGTAGTGACTACTGTTGCAACATTCTCTCTTTTTTTTTTGACTGATGACCTCACGGCAGCTTGAGATCCAGAGGGAACTCTGTGTCCTAAAGCTTTTCTTTGAATTTGCCCTAAAGCTTTTCGTTTGGGTTTTGAAAAGTCAGCAGCGAGCCACTTAGGGGAAATGAAGAAGGGGGGGGGAAAGTCCTTTCTTAGCGTCAGCAGTTTTGCAATTTAACAGCCTTTGAGGTCGCAATCTTGACGTTGTTCTTCTGCTCAATGCCGACATGACAAATCAGTGTCTTTTAGGCGAGGTCACGCAGTCAGTTTATCTCAAGATTGCAGCCCCTGCAGTGTGCAATGTTGCTCCTATCATGGGAGTGAACATCTGACTGATTCACTGAACCGCATGCATTCTGTACATTGAGTTTGGTAATAAAAACTAATAGAGTGAGGCGGCTCGCTCTGTCCTGCACGTGGTTCCAGCTGCCTTACATGGAGCTGTTGTCCTCCAGAGACCACTGCGGATACTTAAAGACGTACTGCACACGGGACCTTTGTAGACAAGCCATGCATTTCAACTCCAGGGCAATTACACAACTTGTTGTTTCAGCCACACTGCCATGTTAAAAAACCAAAACAAGTTTACCCAAGTCAAGCTTTAGGACAGAGGACAAAATGTCTTTTTGGCTTTCCCTCCCACCCTTTTCTGTACAATCTACAGTATACAATTCTGGTCCCATCTTGGACAAATGTTGATCTACTGGGTTCCTTCAAGAGATCAATACTTATTTGTCTGTGGGCCCCTAACCCCACAGGGGACATAGTTAGTAAATACTATTTTTGGGCTTGAAAAAATAAGTTGTCTCAGAAAAAGATGAGACAAAAACGGGACTGATATTCTTATAATGCGATCAGTCATATTGGACCATGGTGCCCAAAGAGAAAAGAAGAACAATAAGGCTTAGATCTTCATCGAGTGTTATCTTATCTTTGATCTGCTTCGTAGTAAAGCCAAATTTACCTTTTCAGGTGCTCTTTCCTCAATGCATTTTGGTCTTTCACTCTGCTTTTTGTTAATCCTGTTGCTTCCCCACGCCCAACGCTGGCATTTCAGTGTAGCTTTGAGTGAGGGCCTCCTGACCCTGGTTAGAGTAACGTGTTGACTGTGATTGCATCACACGGTGACAGAGCAGATGAATACCTTTTTAATCATTTAATCTCGTTACGCTTTACATAGTGCGAGTGATAGAGCTGACCGTGCTCATTGTCAAAATCCCCCTGAGTCTCATTTCATTAAAAAAGCCTTTCAGTCCCAATCCAAAATCTAAAACTTATCACGTGGCTAAATTAGCATTCAGTAGTAAGACATGTATAGACTGTGTGATTAATCTGTGTGTGTTCTGTTCAGCTGGTTTCAGTTGCTTTGTGTTAAAGCCTTCAGATTTAAGGCCCTTCCTGCTCAGTGCTGAGGGTCAGCACTTTGTTGGGAGGGAATTAAGTCTCTGTTTTGAGTGCGTTGTGGAAAACCACCTAATAATAATTGAGATCAGAGTTTAAACAGTTATCCCCGCAGTAAATGTCAGGTACCCTTCACGCACCTTCCTCAAGTGAACGTACGCAAGGTCGTAGATCACTAGTACGTGGTAGAACAAAATGATTATCCTCTTAACCTTGAAGCAACTTTTCATTTTTGAACGGAGAAGTGCGTTTCCAGTGTGTGTTGTTTTCGGGATAGATTTGTTGGTGGGGATTGTAGCCGTAGCAAGATTCCTTTCCTCAGAGGATGTAATTTCATCGGTTCACCACATTGGACGTCATCCAAACACTCCCTCTTGGTACCGAACAGACCGTACACGTACAGGGCTGGTAAATAAGTATCATGTTGCACAACAAAAAAACAACTCGTCTCACCTCTCATGACACCTGCATACCAGTTTCTATTAAGATGAAGGGAACTGAGAAGAAAAATAAACATGGAGAATAAATCCCTGCCTGTGTAAAAGATCAAACTGCTGTCACAGTTTGCAGTATATTTAGGGCTTAGGTTACAGGCGAGGGGGAGGAATAGGATAAGGATATTTATTGTTTTATTATAGTGCTGATGCCGCAAGATAGATAGATAGAAATGTTCCCGAAGAAGTGCTGATGTGTCATTTCCCAAGCTTCTTTAATGACGGTGATCTGGACTAGAGTCCACCTTTGTTCCCACTCTCAGTAAGGTGGACATTTTCTAAGGATTGAGATTTCCTGCTTTTGGACTTCTCTTTGGGTTCATTTAGGCATTAAAGTCCAGCACAGTTCTGCAAAATCAGCCTTGGGTGACCCCCTTTTCACTTCTATACCTAACTTTAAAAGTTCATTCCAAGGCTATAAGAGTGAGCTCCCCTGTATTAATGCTACTCTTTAAGGCGATCCTCTGATGATTCTGGTGGTATCCATGACCACATGAACCAGGTGGACCAGATCACTGGACGTGGCTAATGAGGTGTGATTACACCGGGTTAATTTTCAACCTCGAACATATGTTGAAACTGCAAATGTAACACGGCTGTTGGCACACATTAGCAAAAAAAAAAAAACATCCTTCCACTACAGTTATTGGAAATAGCAGTTTTATCTGATCTGTGACACTCAACTAACTAAATCTTAGTTACTAACTAACTAAAAATTTTAATTATTAAAAATGTTTTAATTATGTGTGACATCAAACAATTAATGTATCATATTTTCCAACAGGCTGCAATGCAAACCTGTGAGAATAAGGGGGCTGATGTTTACACCAACGGGAGTGCTGGACACGTGAATGGCACCGATCTGACCAGGATGAAGGAAGTAGAATTTGACAAGAATCCTTCAGAGCCAATGGTAAACTATCTGCCTCTACACACCCGTCTTCATAAGTTTATATTCATGTTGCTGATTCCTCCTCATGGTTCTTTGCCGCAGGGAGTCACTCTGAAGCTCAATGCCAATCAAAGATGCACTGTGGCCAGAATATTGCACGGGGGTTTGATCCACAGACAAGGTAACTAATCACACATTAATTTGAGTAGGCGAGTGTGCTGACTGGGTGTTTTTATGCTAGTAAGTTACTTCTGCAGCATAGAGCTGCAAAATAAGACTTCAACTATTCAGGTTCCACAACTTATCACGGCCATTTTGATGGCAGGCTTTTTGCTTGTCTTCAGTTTACAATATTTCTGGATCTTCATATGTGGACAATAATGCAGAAAACACAGTGGATAATTTTTAATATCACTACACTTCTCCCTACTTCCAGGGTCCTTAAATGAAGGAGACGAAATAGCAGAAATCAATGGGAAAAGTGTGACAAACCAAACTGTAGATCAGCTACAAAAGATTCTGGTAAGGTCATCTTATCATTCTTGGCACCAGAGTAAATCAAAATCTTTATGTATTTATTGCACTTGTACAACTAGATGAGTTAACCCGCATGAGTTCACACGCAGAAAGAAACCAGTGGAGTGGTCACAATGAAGATCGTTCCCAACCTGCCAAATCGATCCCGAGCCTGTGAGGTAACGACATGACCTATAAGAATATGCATTTACCTTTGGTCATGTGTTTTCGTTTGTGGTTTGCATTTGTTGTCCTCTAAATGTCTTCCAAATGTAATTTTGCATGAGTTAACTCAGAAAATTTGCTTCACACTCAAATCCAATGGTAACTTCCAGCGGCGTAATCTACTAAGATGGGTTTGATTGCATTTCTTTCATTTTTTCCCTCCCTATAAACTGTCAGGTGAATCTCCTGTTAGTCAATGAGCAGCTCAGGTGACTATAAAATAAGTTTAAGCTTAAAGAACATCACTCACATTAGTTTTCTAGTTTGGCTTGAACCTCTTCGGTGTTTCATTCTGCTGAATCTACTACTCTTCATCTACTGGCCACATAACATTTCCCCCCCGCAGCCATTTATGTGCTCCCTGTGCACAAAAAACTAATAATAATGCTATGTTGCATAATCAACTGTGTTGTTGTCAGTGGTGGTAGTGTACTTACAAGTTCATAGTTCTTTAATATGTAGGCATATCTAATTCACTATTCACAATTTTATTGTCATTATTTATTATCATTTTTGGTGTCCCAAATCCAGTATTTGTACACATTAAATGTATTCACCACAAATGTTCATGAGTCATACTAACTATATTAATATTTTACCCTGAGGAGAATTTACATGTGTGTTCCAGTTGTGATCTTTAACAGTTTAAGAAATGTTTGTACAGAAATTCATCTTGCTGTCAAAAATAAGTTTACCAACCTCAGTGAATATTTCAATCTGGAATCTGAACACATTAAATTAAACTACTCATTTGGGAGCAGCTTCACAACAAATCAAAAGGAAATATAGAACCAGAATGATTTAGTCCATTTTGACAACATTTGAATTAAGCTGTCCAAGATCATATCTCATATCTCCAAGATCATAACATGTAAATTTCAAGGTTACCCTTTGCAGAACCTAAAATGTAAAAGGTCTTTCGAAGTCCAACATTTGCTCATTTTTACACACGCTCATAACGTTACGATACAGGTGTATTATGTACACTGTTGTGAGGCTGTTAAAGGCTACTGTTGCATAGAGAATATTTTAATCATGACCAGTCTCTCTCCTTCATCGCTTAAACGTTGAAGAAATACAGCATGTTGAATATTACCTTCCGAGCTTCGCTTGTGTTCACTTGATACCCACAGTGTAAATGGTGAATGTCCAACATATCACTGACTAAAATGTGTTTTTAGTGTGTTACTGAAATGCAAAAGCTCAGAATACCTTATGCCATAAATAAATGGCAAGCTCAGTACGCGTCTAGTTCAGCAGTATATGATCTGTAACCAATATCTCAGAACAGATTACATAAAATCATTGAGCTCAGAGAAACTCAAAAGAACAGGTCAGCTGAAAGAGACTTTGAAAAAGTTGAGTAACAACAAATACTGGGATGCCGAGGACTATTTAAGCTGGATGATGGAAGATTTAACACATTACTGAGGTCTGCATATCTAACATTAATGTCCAGTAGCATATAAGTAATGTTCATGAGTTCCTTCTTTCTCCCCCAAAAAGTGAATAAACCATATTTATCCTTTATCTATAGATGTACATGAGGGCCCAGTTTGACTATGACCCCTCCAAGGATGACCTCATCCCGTGCAAAGAGGCAGGTCTTAAGTTCCAAACTGGGGACATCATTCAGATTATCAACAAGCAGGATCCAAACTGGTGGCAGGGCAGAGTGGAGAGCGGCGTTACTGAATTCGCTGGACTGATTCCCTCCCCGGAGCTGCAGGAATGGTAAACACCTCCGTGAGGCGGAATCCTGCAGTATGAAGTCCCACTTGCTTTGCTAATTGCTAAAGATTGACATGACACTATGAATCACATCCGCATACAACTGAGCAAAAATGTTCCAATCCAAAACGCCTTTGTCTTTTTTTCACACCGTAGGAGGGTGGCGAGTAAAAGCAAGACCAGAGAGGGCGGTCAGTCCTGCAGCCCATTTGGAAAGAAAAAGAAGTGTAAAGACAAGTACCTGGCTAAACACAGCTCGAGTGAGTTCATCACTGGCATCACGCCTCTTGGACATTGTCTTTAACCTCAGTTTTACTGTGGCGTTTATTTGTCTCAAACTAAATCACTCCTGTTGCAGTTTTCGATCAGCTGGACGTGATTTCTTATGAGGAGGTTGTTCGGCTCCCTGCTTTCAAAAGGAAAACGTTGGTGCTTATCGGTAAGCTCGATTCCGTTACTCAATGGGGGTTTAGAATTTTGTCAATCTGTACAAACGTACGAAAAACAAATAAAACCTAAGAATAATAAGATGAATGTTGAATGTTGAATGTTGAAGTTGAAATGTCCTTGAAAATAACAAATTCTGTTGTTTTTTTTAGGTGCACCCGGCGTAGGAAGAAGCCATATCAAAAGTGCACTATTGACCAAATACCCTGATAAGTTCTCCTACCCTGCACCTCGTGAGTAGACAACCGCAATTGTCTTTCTCTCTTTCAGTGCAATAAACACGTTTGCTAACTCGTCCTCTGACCTCTTACACAGACACCAGCAGACCCCAACGGAAGGAGGAGGAGAATGGACAGGAATATTATTTCATCTCCAACGAAGCCATGACCAAGTGCATCTCTGGAAATGAGCTGCTGGAGTATGGCAGCTTCCAGGGATATATGTTCGGCACCAAAACTGAGACCATCCACAACATCCACAAGCAGGAAAAAATTGCTTTGCTGGATATTGAACCACAGGTTTGCATTCACAGGTTCTTTTGGAGATGTGACATGAAACGCATGGTGCAGGGTGCATCGCCCAGAGCATGGTGCATCGCCCAGAGTCAAATAAAGTCAAAGGGTGTCTTTTTATGCCTCTTTGAGCTGTTTGTGAGTATTTCAAATTGCTAGATTAACCAGGAATCAGGACCATTTTTTGACAAATTATGTAAGGAATTTTACGTGGCGGTTGTTGCATAACATTGGACAGTAAGACAATGGACAACAAGACAAGAAACATGCAAGTGCAAGTGAAGCAATGATGCAAGTATCCGCTGCTTCGCTGCCACTTCTAGGTTACTGGGGAGTGGAACAACTTAAACATATACTAAACCTATTTTTTTTCATTAAAAATGTATGTGTGAAAATGCAATATAAATGTATTCCATTTTTTTAAATTAGAAAGTCCCCCACATTGAGCTGCAAACACTAAAATTCCCCGTAAATGTGTTAAATACAAACTCGTTGAAAAAAAGATGTGGCCTTTTTAAAGACGTTTCAATGTAGTTAACCAGTTTAACCAAGTTCTTCTTTTTTTTGTCATAACATTTTGCAGACCTTGAAAGTCTTGCGGACTGCTGACTTTGCACCTCTCGTGGTGTTCATCGCTCCGACCAACACAGCTGCCCAGGTGCTAAATCTTTATCTGAATAAACTCCAGGGCTTTGTAACGCCAAATTTGATCATCCCGTCACGGCTTAACCCTCTGCCTCTTGTCTCCCAGACGGAAAACCTGCAGATGATCCAGAAAGAGTCGGACGCCATTTTGACCACGTACAGACACATTTTTGATGTGGTCCTTGTCAACAACGACGTGAACGAGAGCGTGCGAGGTGTGGAGGAGGCCATGGAGCGAGCCACCTCTACCCCACAGTGGGTGCCTGTGTCATGGGTGTACTGACAGACGTCTGGCACCGGTATAATACCTTTCTGTTTGTTATAAAGGCAATGCAATATCACTCCTTACACAAGAACCACTCAGTGATGCCCCCCCTGTGAATGGGCTTATTTCTGGTTCATGTCAATTGTCACTGAGATTTTTTTTGCACAAATGCATCCCAAAAAGAAAAAGCAATATGTTTCTTTTAGAAAGTTGAGAACCCCTCCAGGGATGTTTGGTTAGTTGTTTTACGACATTTGTACTTTGGGATTTTGAGTGGCTTATGGATAGTTTTGGTGCCGAACGCCTTTGTGATTGATGGAAAGTGAGCAAATACAAAATAGGACCATAACTGTGAATGGAATCCTTTTTAGATGACAGGATTTTACCATGTAAATCATTATTTCTGAATGTTTTTTTCCTTGTTCTCATCAGATTGTGCCATGAAATTGATATTATGAAACTGTTTGTTCATACAGTGAGTGAAACTCTACACAATGATGTCTTCTAATCCAAACCTTTCAGTCAGTCATCGACACTTTTATCTCGTCCAAATTGTGTATCTCATGGAGTACTGTAAAGGCACTTTTAAGCAAAAAATAAAATACCCAGGTCTATTGCAATTTGTTCTTTAACTGTTTCGTGTGGAAACCTGTTCCCCGAAGTCCTCAGGGAAAACAATGGCAGTGGGAAGTCTCCTACGGGCAAAAACATTATTTCAATTAAATCCACCTATCCATGCCACGTGTTTAAAGGGAAACACGGGGAGCGTCGATCATGAGCAAAGCCGCTGCAGTATAGAGGTTTCTATCAATCCCATTTCATCGTTTGGGGCTTCAAGACTTCATGGTTCAGTGCTTTGATCAATTATAGATCAAGCCTGGCATAACAGAGCTGTACAATATGTCTCCCACAAATCACAAGTCTTGTCTCATCCACAGTGTGGGCGGAATAGTTACAGGTGATACATGACAATGAATTTGTTCACGGCATCTGTCCAGAGCACCTTTGCACAGTTTCCGTGTTCATGGTTTAGAATTGTCTGCCCTGAAATCAAAATATTCAATTCAATATTCAATGTTCATTTTGTATAATTCCAAGTACACATAGCCTATGTATGAATTTTGAACGGTAGCCTGTTTGCTGCAGATGAGCATGTGGGAAATTGTTCTCCAAATACTCAAAACTAAATTATATTTTTTCTCTATAGATTCCCCCTAATGTACATGGTAAAAGTGGATTACGAGCAATCTGCTTGGGAAAAATATCAATAAGCCCTCTATAATGTAAGGTGGCTGCTACATCTAATTTCTAGTCATTAGTAATAACACAGGCTGGTCTATAGCACCACCGTGTGGCCTCTCCCGATTTACCATCACGCTGTGAAATATTTAACCTACTTCCTGTTTGGCACCATTGCCAAATAATGTTTTGAAGATGTAGGTCCAATAACGATGCAACGTTGCTGTCACTGCAGAAAAGGCCTTGTTACCTTAAATTTAGCCATAAATGCATCTGTTGCAAGAACAGAGATACTATCTCATTCTTCAATTCAGTGCTGCTTCTTTGTAAAGCCTAATCTGTGATATAACGTACTTTGTCATATGAATAATCAACCAAAACATTACAGGAACATCCACAAGGAGACTGTTTAATAATGTGAAGAATTAAAAAGAGACTACACAAAACTAAAGAAGAAACTATTCCACCAGACTAAATCTAAAGTGTATTTGGCAAGAGTATAGATTTTAAAGTGGATTTTCAAACCAGCAGGTGATCTCATGATTTACAACGGGACCAGTGGGGCCGAGAAGGACAATTGATGAGCCAACTGAGTTCAAGCATAATTTGGAAAGTTAGAAATGTAACTTGATGTTTAAGCTATTGCATTTCCAGTATTAGTTGCCACCACAACAGTAAACCTGTGGAGGCAAAAACAAATGAATAAAATATGTTTTTTTTAATGGATTATTATAAACATTTTTTATGAGAGACTATTTTTTGCATCCAACAATCTGTCCTGGTAGAATGGAATTCATCCTGTACTGAATGACAGGTACTTGCATCCCCTTTTGGTTTATGTTTCAGTAATTCAACACCTTGTTCTGAATCGATATTGTCACTCATGCCTTTCTGGCATTGCCTATGAAGAAAATGGGTTCAGGATTACTGACATCACAAAAACACACACACATCTTTATAATGAAATAGTAGTTTAATCCACACAAACAGATTAAGAAACATGAGTAAACATTTGTATGTACTTCCTTATTGGCTTAGACACCTGTTAACAAATAAGGCATAAAAACGATTTTATCATTAAAATATATGTACATTTTAGCACAGAAAGATGGTAAATTGGCTATTACTCATCTTATTAGGTAATAGCTCCCACAGAGCAGGAAGAGGCACCATGACAAGAATGTCAGACTCTATCCTCACAATAATAATATTAGACGAATGCAATTCGACCGGAAATAATAATAAAAGCTCCTTCTGCAAACCGATGGTTAGTAAACGTGCGTTCAGCTCCCACTGAACCCTTCTCCATGTTCACTAAGGGGGAATAATAAGACACCTACTGCGAAACTCGCCACACCCCCTTTCGAGAGAACGCCATTTTGTTGACACACAGACTCGAAGTCAAAATAACCTCAAGTGAAAAGCTCTGAAAGCGCCATCGTGACATGTAACGCATCCACATGTAACATGCGACACGAGTCCCAACGACGGCGCACGTAGACTCAAAACAACAAAACGCCGCGTCCGCAGTCCGCCGGTCACCCATTTCAAACGCGAAACCCGACTCGATTGACGTCACCGTTTTTTCCCTTTTTTTTTCGTGTCCACCTTAATCCGGCGGCCGCGTGTCACGCCTTCCATTACTGCGCGGACCCTGACAGCAGCGGGCTCTCGGTTTCAGCCTGCAGGTGCAGCATCGCCGTAGAAACAGGAAGACGGCGGAGGAGCACTTGTGTTGCGAACGGCACGCTCACGCACACGCACACGCACGCACGCAACCCCCGCGGCTCACACCGAAGCCAGCTGCGCCTCCGAGGCCACACGGGCACAATAAGCGACCGCAGGGCGCCACAGGGTAGCGAGGAGCGCAGAAGGCAATCCCCGATCCATCTGCCAGCCACTCAGCGCGCGCTCACCAGTCTCCAGTCCGGATTTCGAGCACAGCTGTCCAGCCGATACCACCAGGAAAATGTGAGTAATCCATCGTGTAAAGCGCTTATTTCTTTCTTTTTTTTAAAATCCTGATGTATTCGTGGATTCGGATTTCGCCCTCGCGACTGGCGCTGGCAGGCTGTTTGGGATTAATTATGTGTGAATGGTCTCTTGTGTGTCTTTGCCGTCCGATGCTCAGGTTATTTAACTGGAGTCCGGTTAGTCAGTAAATTATTAATACGCCGCGCTGTTGAATTGAATTTGACAGGCTTTTATTCATTTGGATGTCGTCCGATCGCACGAGTAAGGAGCTAACGCGCCGGCCTAACCTTGGAGCAGATGGAGGGTGCATGGGCTTTAAATGCATTATTAGCATTATTCTCTTTACACGGCCAATGATCTCCGCGTTTATCCCATTTATTTCTTTTATTTTCTTGTCGTCGGGCGCTTTTTCACCGGAGTCAGCACGCGCGCATCTTTCCAGTTCGGACTGGTTAGATTTTTTTGATCTTTTGCATAAAAGAGGTTTTAAAGGTTTGTGCGATATACCTACAGGCTAATTAAAACCACACGAAGGGGAAAACGTCACCTGCTGTTTTTTTGTGTAATTTCTCAACATTCAGAGGCCTTCATCCGTGCGCGTGTGTGTGTGCGCGCGCGCGCGCGCCGCTGTACCACAGTGACGGTGAAGCTTATTCCAGCAACATCAAGGATACAACGTTCAACATGTTTCCCCGTCGACATTTTTCGACGATCCCTCCACGGACCGCGTGCATAGACGATGGTATAATTAGCTCTGAAGTAGGCTTAGGCCTAGTTGGTGTTCGCACCTCGCAGCGGGGGGTTGGGAATAGCCTCCTATACTGCATGTCGTCGATTGTCGTGCGAGGGCGGACAGTAAAATATCTCATCACATCCAAGGCTGTTTAGGACTTCCAAGGACGGATTAACCCGAGATTGCCTCCTTTCCTATGCCTCATTTGTTCCCCTGTAATGTTTGCCACATGCACACGGTTGTACTATATAAAGGGCAGACTCCGTGAAGACAGCCGTGACCACCTCGTATGTGTTTTAGACATATTTATTTATTTTAATTGTATTCGCATGGCAGGCGCGCACACACGCCATGTCATTGAGCCGCGGTGACGCGCGTCTGTTAACACACAAGTTACATTTGTCACCAACATTTGATAACCATTTCCACCCCCTCCCCCACCCCGCTCCTCCCCGGTCGTGCTCGGTCGTGGAACGTGATGTCCTACAGGGCGTCACGTCGGCCTGGTGTGTCCGTGTACTCGGTCCATGAAGTCTCGCCTCGTCAGACAGAGAAGCGATAGTGAGGCGGCCGCCGTGGCGCTGTCCGGTGCTGAAATGTCGCTCTCCGGTGCTCAGAGTCCGACGTCACGACAGTGACTGAAAACAAAACAAAACAGAAATCCATTAGGATCAAAGCATATAAATAAACAAGGAGCCTAGTAATTTCTTTACAATTAATGGTGTAATGATATTGTATCATACTTTCAGGGGCTGTTGGAGTGGTTATATTACTCCTCCTTTTGTCAGGGACCCCCTGAAAACTCTTTGGAAACCATATGACTAATATTGATCTAACATGGCTTTAAAGAAGGTTAAATCTATTCTGTGTTCATGGTGAATCAGACATTATCAGTGCACTGCAGCGTTTTAACTCAGCAGCCTTTCACAAATCTTTTTCAAATCTGTTTTTTTCTTTTCTGTCGCTTTCTTGAAACGGAGTGTGTGCTCTCTTTATCCAGTTACCACTACAACATTGTCTCTGAAACCATTTGATATCAGTAGACCGGTAGTGATATTAAGTCCCCATGTACCATAGTTAGTGACGCCAAATAAGTTTACCATTTTAAATTAAAAGATTGTTTCACATCAGAAGAAGTTACTCCAGCTGGTTGCGGTGCTTCCAGTTTTCCCTCCAAACAGGATGTGGAGGCTTAGAAGCTGCACTAGCAACTCTTCCTGGTTGGTTTGGGGGAAAGTTCAAAGGTGACAGTGGTGTGAACCTCAACGCACATTACACCTGTGTGGTGATCCACGTGCTGCCGAGTGAAAAGAGGGATACCGTAATTGTATATGTTATATTCTTTGATATTACGCACGTTTTACGAAATAAAACAATATATATATTTTATTTGTGTGACACGCGTAGTAATGCTTCACCATGTCACAGGTTGCCTCAGGGGATTTACATTGTCAGCCTCTATTGGGGCTGGTCTAGTTGACGGTGGCCACCGGCACCGTCAGGTCCATCATGCAAAAGGATTTCTTGTTGTTAGAGGATTAGTCATGTGTGAGTGTGTAAAGGTGACCTTTATACAGACATTTTTCTCACACAGGTAGAGGAGCTGAGTTACACCTGAGAACTGTCAGCAGTTGGGTTTGCTGTCTAATTGCATTGATTTATCTATTCTCTGCGCCGATAGCATTGCAGCGTGGCCAATTAAGCTTAAGCTGTATCTGCTGGTATATCACATTACAGAATGTTTTATGCTTAATTTTCAAACTGTATTAACACTTTGCATTGATGTACATATGGTTCTTAAAGGTAAACTGATATTAGTTGGTTGAGAGAATTATATATAATATAATTTCAGGTTGTTCTTTTTCTGATAGTAAAATCATTTTGTGATGGACTTGCAGGTCTCCTGTCTACTCTATATGTCAGGGATGTCCGTAATCACCTGCAGGGCTCGATTTTCCGGATAGGGGAATATTGATATAATATTCACATTTATACAGCTTTCATCATTCTTCTTTAAAATGTATAAAATAACAGAAAAAACAGAATAATTTATCTTTGGTCAATTTCTGTTTGGTAACATCCATAAATAACCGTGTGTAGGTTTGACATTTCGGGTGTATTTATATCTTCGGCTGCAAAGAGCAGAGCTACAAGTATGTTTTGTGTTAGCATGAATGCCGGCAATTGTTTTTATGGAGCTTTCAAATTCCAGTGAGAGTTGACACTGATGCTTGTTCATTAGTGTTGCATAGCACCTCCAAAGAAATAGGTCAACGAAGGTCACAGTACGACATGACATGACAAATCCAATTGACCTCAGAAGATTATAATCATATGGAAATGTCCATTTTTGGAAGTAAATCCTCCACATCCTACAAGTTAGACCTGATTCTGGGTTGATTCTCAATAACCATCATAAAAGGAAGCACCAACTAGTGGTTTCTCCATGACATTGCATTATCTGTTTAATCCACAGCAAAACTCCACAATCTGCGAGTAAATATTCTGAGTGAAAAAACGCAAATGGTCCCACAAATAATATATTAGTTAGCATCATGAATTAGATATTTGTCTTTTTTGTTTTATCTCCAAGGAAGTGTATGATTACACCAGTGTTTCCCCAACCATTATATCCCTGTTTGCCGCTCCGCCCCCTAAAGACACTGTACAGGCCAAACGTTTTCCTAAGTTATGCAATGTTAGCAAAATTGAAAAATAAATCCTATATATATATATATATATATATATATATATATATATATATATATATATACGGCCCCCGTACTTTACATCCTTACAAAAGAAAACAAACCAAAAACATTACCTCATTAATATAATATAGTGGCAGGGCAATACAATCACAATAAAGGTAATTTCTTATCTTGTTATGGATGCAATACAGCATGTAAAGGCAGTCTTCCACATTCCACACACATAACTTATAAGGATTTTCCTGCAATCATTTGGACTTTTTTGTCATTACTGTTGTATTTTTATGGCTTTCTTAACTTTATCTCAACGAATATGCTGTTTATAACAAATGAATATGTCTATTTAATATCATTAGGTCTGCCCCAGCTGGAGCCCCTGCACCAGAGGGAGGGAATCAGCCCCCCAACCTCACCAGCAACCGTCGTCTGCAGCAGACGCAGGCACAAGTGGATGAGGTGAGCACAAACTTATCTGCTTGCACATTTGAAGTGGAAAAGCATGAATTGTTGGTGCTGTGTTTGAGCTTCATATACAGATTGAAACCATGATTTTGCTTGAAACTTAATAAACTAACTCCTCAACATAATCCTTATCACACTCGCTATTACACTGCATAGCTGTGGTTGTGTCTTCCCCTAGGTGGTGGATATCATGCGTGTAAACGTGGACAAGGTTCTGGAGCGTGATCAGAAGCTGTCAGAACTGGACGATAGGGCTGACGCCCTGCAGGCTGGAGCCTCTCAGTTTGAGACCAGTGCTGCTAAACTGAAGAATAAATACTGGTGGAAGAATGCCAAGGTGAGGACATGCAAACGTGCCGACTAAATATAGCAAATACCTGTGAATGAAGGCGGTCTTAAAGCCCCCTGTTTACAGACTAAGGAAACAATGCAATACAGACAGGAGTAGATGTTGTGATGTAGCAGATTTAATATAATTACAAATTTGACTGCTTTTCTGATTACTCTTTTTCTGAAAATTCCTTTAATACAGATGATGATTATCATGGGTGTGATATGCGTGATTATCCTCATCGTCATTATTGGTAAGTAGGCGCTTTACTGTCACTGTTGTCCAAATGGACCTAATAAACGCTTCAACCTTTCTTACATTTTACAAATATGAACCTTTACCTTGTTGTCAGCAAATGTTGTTTTGATAACTGGGACATCATTTTGAATGAGACTTTCATTTGATTTCATTTCTATTTCACAGTGTACTTCAGCACCTAAGAAGAGTTGCTCCTACCCCAGTCTAATCCTTCCTTGCTACAGAAGAAAACCCCTTAAATTAATAACAAAATTAACCATGATAACCCATTTATTATATATATATATCCCGATTAGCTTCGATATATATTCATCCTAAACCTTCAGGGCGCCATGGCTCCCCCACTTCCACCACCTCGCCTCCGGACCCCCGTCGATATTTGTCCCGTGAGTGTGTGGCCCTCTCTCCTTTCTGGGTACTCTTGGCTTTTCTAACCTGCCATACTGAGAACCAAACACTTGTGACGATGCAACAACAGAAAAGGAAGCAATGATTGGCGATAATTGTTACATAACTGATATATAGTTCTTTGTAGAGTTTTATTCTGATATATACTGTTTTGTAGGTGTGTGTGTACGTGTGTGGGTGTGTGTGCGTGTGTGTGTGCTTTTTGTATTTTTTAATTTTTTGTATTAATTTTACGTATGCTTCAGCGTTAACTACTGCCTATTAATCAAAGTGTGTATCCTGCATGTGATCATCATCGGTCCGTCCCCGTGCTTACCCCCTCTTTTCGATGTATTTTTACTAAGTGGATTTTTCTGTTACATCTGATACTCGTGTCCACTGAGAAAGTCCAAAATAAGCCACAGAACTAAATCTTGTTCTGAAAGGATAACATAAAATTACCAAAATTTGAGCTATTACACAGACACAATTTCCCCTGAGAATGCCGCAGGTTAATCTTACCTCCGCTCCAGATTTCTGTGACTTGATGCCGTCGAGGATTTCAAGTCTTCGCTTCTTTGGTGACTTTCTGAATTTGAGTTAATGCTCAATCATATTGATCAAACGTACAAATAATGCATGAATTGTTTAACTTATTCCTATTAATCATTATTTTACAGCCCTCTTCATCTGAGTGTCTCATTTCTCTCTCTCCATTTCACTCTAAAAACTCATTTTTAACTCCCCATCACTTATGTCCGTCAGCATGCTTGAACACCTCAATTTCTTCTGAACATTTCTAAAACTGCCATAGTACAGTCGGACCAATGTCTGTAGATGTTTCTTTTTCATTTATATATTACGTAGTGTCTTATTTCGAAAACATTCCTTCATTGCAATTTAGTGCAAATGGTCTTACCGTAGCACAAGTAAGTGTAAGTATCTTTAAAAAAAAATAATACACGTGATGAAACTTTTGTGGAAAACGTCGGTCATACAAACCATAGGGAAAAAAAATTGTGAATAGCAGTGAGGGTACATTCTGGATCGATAGGATTAGACTTTCAATCTGTCCAAATTATTTTCTTTTGTAATATGAGTGATGTTCTCTTAACATTACACGTAGGTTACAGTATACTGTGGAGAAGTCATTCATGTCAAACTGTGGATATGGGCTGAAAAAACCCAATTCTAATGCATAAAAGGGGGCTGTTGCCTAAATCGATTAGTTTCCATAAAGCAAAGGTTAATCCTTACTGGCCTGTTACCTGCGTGGACACTGAAAAGCCTTCGTCTCCAGGCACTTCTATTGGTTAGCATAGAACATTACCAGTCAAACCTACCTTCCAACTTTTAGTCCGTGCGGGGGGGTGGTGGTTGACTGAAGAAAGGAAATCTGTTTAAAATGCACAAACAATCTTGTTTTTGATGGCGCTGTCTGGCTGGTCAATAGCCTGGCCGAAGGCGATCCTCATGCAGCAAAACCTCTCCACACAAAGAGCACATAAAGGAAAGCGATCATTCAGCCTTATTTGAAAATCCAGGAACAGGGACAGTTGGTCAAGTAACTTTGGGGTAGGCTCAGAAATGTACTGTCAAAGGTCAGCGATAAGCAGCGCGAGAAGCACTTCTATATAAAAAAAAATAGTGGCACTCCTAAAAAAAGATTGTCTTTGCCAGCGCGGTGGTTCTGTCTCAGTGTGTCTCCCTATAGTTAAGGCCTTTTTTCTTTTTTAAATACAATAGATTCTATTTTTATTATAGTATATTTTTGTGTGATACAGACAGGTAAAGAGGAAATGTGCAATCAGTACCATTTGCTGCAGCAGCATTTAAACTCCTCTTCACCTCAGTCTGGTGTGTTTTTTGTAATTCAGCTCTGTGCGTTATACACTGCCAAGCAACAAGGAGGAGGCCTCTATTCTTATTGCAGATTTCTTTCATTGGTGCCCAAGCTGGTTTGGTCTTAAAACATTATTTTACATGTTTCTGGCATCTTCTCCTGTGTGTACTACTTGTGGCTACTTCATGAGCAGGAGAGCAGGGCAATACGGTGCACTTGTTTGGGTTTTCTTTAGTGCTCAGTCAAACTGAGGCCTTCTACATATGAACACAAGATGACATAAACCCAAAAGGAAAACTATTTCACTTTCACCTTTGGAATATTCTTATTCACAGTGTTTGCTTGTGCGAGCCTGCAATGCTGAACAGGAAGCAACTTAACTCGACTCAACTAAACTAAAATGTATCAAATGTTCTTATTGTAGGCAGGAGAGAAAAAAACCCACAACAACATATGAAAACAAGTGTGTGTAAAGCCTTAGTTGCCTTGTCTCTTTTCAACATGACTTTTTATCTTACCCACCAGCTGAGTAAACCGACTTGCCCCCCTTTGCTCAACTCACTGATTCAGAATCCTACAGTGTGTGTGTGTGTGTGTGTGTGTGTGCGCGTGAGTGTGTGTCTGTGTCAGCGCAGGTGCATTAATGTGTGTGTGTGTGTGTTAGAATAGCTCTGTCTTGGGAATATCCCCAGTTTATCCTGACAGATTAGGCCGCTTAAATCCCAGAGCGAGGGCACGTTGTTTCCTTGACCACTGAAGTACACAAGCAGATTTACCGGCCAGCTCTAATAAGGAAGGACCCTAACCGTAATAACAACAACCCCCTCCTCCCCTTCCCATGTTTTCTTCCAAGTAGAGTGAAACTAAACTGCAGAAGATTACCAAAGACCAGATTTCCATGCTTATGCTGCCAATTGCCATCAAAAACAAGTGGAGAGAAACAGGTTATCCAAACTATCCCAAAAGTCTGTTTTAAATATTGTTACCCTATTTATCCACAGATGACAGGACCTTTTAACTATTGCACACTATTCATATGGTGTGTCAGTTTGGCCGGTGAGTGTGACATTTAAACATATGCAAGTTAATCCCAAAACACTTTAAATATCAAATACAGCCTGCCCCACCAGGCACATCTGGGTCCGAAGGGCCTCTTTGATCTGAACCAAATTTCAAGACACGTGATCCTATTTCTAATGATAGCACAATTCTTCTTTTTTGTCTCCATAGTGCTGCCAAGTTCTAAAATTAAAAGACATTTGAACTTACTATATGCTGTCAAAAAGAACCTAGAAAAACATGATAAAAATCTGCGTTGTTTGGTGTTGTAATATGGAGGTGTTTTGGGGGTTTAGGGGGTCCTATATCCTCAGGTTTAAGGTATTAGCAATGTACCAAAATATATATATATATATATATATATATATATATATATATATATATATATGAGGACAAAGCTATATAAGCAAAGTATAAAATTGTTTTTTTTGGCAATAGAAAATCTTTATAGGGTTACCAATGGGGTCATTTGAGCCGTTCTTTAGGAGTTAACCACAAAGTGGGCTGAAGTGAAATAACACAACTGATTGGGGTAGGGCTTCTGTGTTATCCATAAATCTGTGATCAACCAATTTGCTCACAACGGTGAAAATGAAGTAAGAGCTCTCTTTTCTCTGTTGCTTTACTGTCTGTTTGAAAAGAAGTGCAGATATATTTTACCACCGTGCCATTTTTTTCTGGTGTGATTCATTCATTTTGGTAGGATGGTAACGTGATTCGGTGGAGAATATTGTGAATTATGTCAACCTCAAGAATCGTTCAGCGATCTCAACTTAAATGCTGTGTTCAGTTCATTTGGGGGGGGGGGCGATGCAAACTCCATCCAATAAAACGTCTTCAGACCCTCTTCCAGTTCTGAAACATAACTTGTGATTCAAACTTGGAAGAAAAAAATCAAAAAGTAAGACACCAATTGAACATCCAAACTTTCACCAAAGCGTCATGTGACATGTGCAGATCAGGAAGCGTCTACCGTCAACCCCAAATGACAGGAATGCAGCAATAGGAGGGAACCTTTTGAGTCTCTGAATGTGCGATGGATGGTTATAATAGTACAATATTCTACTTAATATGTGTTATATTTTCGGACCAAATATTGTGTTTTTCTTTTGCATCAATTTAGTAATAACTCCAGATGTCACTGAATTGTTTGTATGTAAACGATGATGATGGGTAAAGGTAAAGAAAATGGGAGCTAAATGGGGGGGAAAAAAGTGTTTTTACCTTCAATTGTCCAGAATGCTTAGAATGATTCTACAGTTTACATCAGACTGCTGTTTGTATCTACAAGATATATTTTTCGTTTAAATCGGTTCAAGTAATTTTTTTAGGAAAGATTTTTATTTCTCGTTGGGAAAAGGGTTTCAGGGATAGAGGCCCATATTGCCCCTGGTCACCTGGCCCAACCGGAGGGACCGGACTGGAGTACCACGGGCAATGTGCTCAGTTTTATCATACTTTTTTTTTTTCTTTTTCTTTGGTCTTATTTATTGATAGATTTATTGTGCTGTCGTTTTGTATGGGATAGAAGAGGGTTGACTCAACGTAAAGAAAAGGAGACTGAATGAAAAACGGAAGTACATAAAATAATTGTAGTGTAAATCTATCAATGTCTTATTATATTGATGAACATCATGAAATATATGTATATTGGAAAAACAGTACCTATGACAACTTGTACGTTTGTGTGTGCTTCACGTGCTTTGTGGGTGTGCAGCAATGGGCAGATGCAATTTTGACTGCAATTCTGGGACCTTATGTGACCTGTACCAATTCGCATAAATTTATTATCAATACAAAGATAGACCTCTTGCTTTAATTTATTCAAACCACATGTGCATTCAGAAAAATACCTGGAGACCTGCAGCCATAAAAAGGCATTTTGTTCTAGTCACTTCAGACAGTCCTGTTTAGTGGCTCCCCCTCAAAACCCTTTTTCATCCTACTCACCTTCCACTCTGGGTCTCCACATGCCTGCATGCAAGTGGTGCGCAGTACCACCAATCAAAACTAGTCCCCTCTCTTTAAACGTATTAAGAACTATATGTGTTGTTTGTTGCACTAACGTATTGCATTATTCACATGATCTCCAAGTGAATTATGCATTATGTTCATGCAGGATTTGCCAAATCCTGAAACCACTGTCGTGGCTTATTAGTATTATTATTATATTATAAGCTTCAATAGTTCATCCACACATTTTCCTTGATGCAGATCGTTCGAGCACTGCTGGTTCATTCCACCACTATTTGAATTACTAGCAGGCTAATGCTTGCGCTAGAAGAAAACAACATGCACAGGTACTTTGATGTGGTCACCTGTCTGTTGGAAATACCAGCCACCAATGAAAGTCACTTCCGCCGAAACTCTTATTTTGAAAAGCACCCGTCTGCTCAATATACTGCAGGCAATGGTCGGCTCCGTTAGTCCAGAGTAGATTGCAGCCAAAAGCCTTATAAATATCACATGTCCTGTTTCTATTTCGCTTTATCTTCAGTTCATAGTGCAAACGTTTTGTATTTGCAGCACATATTACTCCGGGATATATTTAGCTAGCTCTTCAAAAACGCAAGTAATGAAAGACCACGCTAAGCAGGGCTTCGTTTAGTGCAGCGTTAGCGGGTTCCTGTCTGGCGTCCATTTAGAGGACAACTGACACACGCATCGCTCGCTTTTCCATTGCTGGGTCAACGCAGAGTCCTCTCTCCCTGTCCCGTCTAAGTAACATGGCTCACGCTAGTTATAAAAAAAATATTCGAGTTGCTTGTCGGTCCACCTGAGACTAGAAGCTGCACACCGTGTTACCAGATCACGATATCAGCAATATGCCACCACGATGCGACTAAAGATAATGGTGATTGGTCTCTATCACATTCTTAATAGTGCGAATAACTACGAGGGAAGGTGAGTCGGGTTTATTCATGGCAAAGATTTCATCCCTGTGAGCCCTGATGCTGGTGAAAGCCGCTTCGCCGCCACGTAACGTGAAACATGTAGGTTCACGTTTTGACCACCAGGTGTCACCGTGAACCCACTCACATCATGTCGTGAACCCACTCACATGTATGTGGAGATGTCCACAAATTCACCATAAATATATATATATCACAAAACATCCCACGTATGAACATTCTGGATTTATGGATTGCATTTTAGTATTTAAAAGTAATTTAGTAAGTATAGTATGTGAGAACCCATCATACAAGCACTAGTGCCGTGGTAAAGATCCAGATAGATATACTATATTATTCCCACAAGGGATAGTAGTGATACACTAAATGAACTAACTAAACAAAAGCGCAGATATTGAACCAAACAAACCAATAATAGTGTTATAGTCGACAAAAAGTGAACAGAAAGAGCTGCACAGTTTGGGATCCAAGCCTGAATGTTTCCCCACCCCCTCCACCATTTACATGTGCTGGCTGTGTTGGGTCGGCAGTAAAAAAGAGTCGGGAAAAGTCTTGTCATTTAGATTTCTTGTATATATTTCTTGTACAATTCCTCTTCTTTGACTTCAATTTGTTTGGCCCTTTCATCCTCATACCAAGTCATCTGTGACTTACCCATGCCATCACCCTGCATACCCCTACTGGCAAAAGACGTTGTGTCTCCTGAGCATTGTCCATGAAAGGAGAAGCAGACCTCACAGCTTCCATGCGATACTTTACTCTTCCAGTTTAATTGTTATTAGACAAACAGATGCATCTACAGCTCGTGTCATGTTCCCTATTATAAGAAATCACTTCAATGCACCCTGTGGAACCCTGTGGAAACCAAATGAGGTGCCATGATCTTTTTAGCACATTGTGAGCACGCTGAGCACACAATATTGAACTTTTCCAAGGAGTGCACAATGAAGTGTACTGTATTAGAGAGCTCTGTCAGAACGTGGGGACAAATGTTAATGTGTCATACTTAGTCGTGCTTTGCTCCATCTGTAATGCTCTTTACGGGTGTCTCAGGTTATCTCCACGGACATCCTTTCTAATCCAATCTTTGTTCTTTTTAAACAGCGAAGAGTAAATTTCAGATTGCAGAGAACAGATTGTTGTATGATTGTTAAGAAAATCAACATTTTCGGTCCGCCACCGTCCCAAATGGACTCGCACAACAGCACACATTTGTTAGTCATTCTGTTTTACATCTCTCACGCACAGTGCCACATTGTACAAGGTTGTAAAGAATCTGAGATATTATCTCAGGAGTGTAATAATAATAATAACAACACAGGGTGAGATGAACATGACCTAAAAACAGCAACACGCAAAAAAAACTTTTCACCCTGTGAAACTGTCTCTCTGTCTGCTCAGAGACAAGTTTATTGTTCCACTTCTCTGACCCTCCCTCTTGTTACCCCCCCAGCGCCCCCCACCCATCGACTCCCCCACTGCTATTCCCTCTGACTCTGGAAAAGGAATGCACGTCCAACTCGAAGGGTTCTTCAGGAGTGATTGCAGAAACCTACACCCGTGGCTTGGCTTCTTGCTAAGTGCAAAGGTCACTGTTACTCCCACCCGTAATGCTGGCGGCTGCACAGTTGTTGACGCTCAGACGCAGTCGCCCCCCCCAGCAGACTCTGCACGTCATTGCATTCCTATTTCTGTTGCCTCTTATCAGGACTTCGGGTCAACACAACACAGCACAGCACAGCAGGACCATGGACTGCTCAAATCCGCAGCTCACTATTAGATGTTCGTTTTTAAAAGTCAAAATAAACTTTTGCAGTCGTGTGCCACTGCGTGTACACGGAGACGCAACATCTCTGTGCTAACGCTGCTTGGTGTTTTTGTGTGCGGGCTTCAGGATTTGATGAAGGCGTTACAGCTCTGTGGTCTGGAAAAGTGGCATATTTGACAGCATCGTTGAAAACACCGTCCCCTCCAGAGGCCTCATTAATGTAGGCCAGAGGGTTTGCTCTTCAGTGAATCCTGAACTGAAAGAACACTCCCCCCACTGAAGTGTTATTCTTGCCTCGGTGGATTGCGGGGGCATGTAAACGCTCTCCTGACGCAGATGCTTTGGAGCTTGAGGAGCCCCTGGGGCTCAGGGAAATACGGTAAGCGGAAAGAAATCATTAGTTTTATTATACTTCTTTGTCTAAATCCTTATGGATCTACTTTTGGATCCTGTGTGTATTTTTTGTAAAGCTAGAAATCAATAAAATAATCTGTTTTGTTAAATTGAAGGTCTTCCACATTGCTTTGAAATTTATGGCCTTACACTCGTTGACTGGTACGTCCCGTGGTTAGAGCCCCAGGCCCTGCACCCACCTGTGCAACCTAGTAATCAGCCAGCGACTCAGAATGGGTGTTGATGGATTTAGTGGCCATGTTATCTTGAGTTTATGCTTCTTCAACTTAAGTTTCCTCCATACAGAGAACCAGAGACATCTGCTGCAGTTAGATGTGCACAAAGCTTCAGACACAACTTGTGACACTCCCTCTGCACCTCTTTCCTAGATGTCTCCCTTCGTATCTTAGAACCAGCGTTATTATGGGGAAACATCTGGCTCTAATTAGAGCCTCCAGCTCCCTCCCTCCCTCCCTTCCCGCTCGCATCATCCCCCTCATGGCTTTTGGTCACCGCTCTTGTCCTCTCAGCACCTCTGTCTGTCTCTCCATCCGTTCTAGCACTTTCTTCCACCCCCCCCCCCCCCCACCTCCCCCTCTACATCATTCAGTGATTCTCCCCGCCCGTCCAGAGCGAGCGTCCTCCCCGTCCGCCAGCTCCTGCCTGCTGCTAGCTCCCTCTTCTGCAACAGACTGTTCGTTTTACGTGCATCATGATGCATGCGGACTGCATCTGGGGTTTCTCCTTGTTCCTGTCTCTGACTTTAGGATGGACAAAGGCGCAGGAGACCAACTACTCCAGGTGAGGACAAAGTCTGTGACAAGAAATGTGACTGCTTGATCCATTCTAATCTTCATTTTCGTCGCTCTTTGATGAGCCTTCCATTGCTAGTTTGAACAAAACCAATTGAGCCCACAAGAGTCTGTAACTTGAAGACTTAAAATACTCTGAATTCTTTCCTGTCTGTCTCAGCTAATTCTTTCCAGCTCACTGTTTGATTGGGCAGATAGTTGTCCCGTGTTTTTTTTGGCCCATGGAGTGAAGTCTGCAGTGGCTGAGCCGCCACAGATGTTAATGCTTTCGTTTCTGCCTATGGGGTCGAATTAGAAAAACGTGGCTCCGTCTCTGGACGTCATGGCTTTTATTCAGCAAGCGTTAGACTTTGCTGGGGTTCTGCTGTCTGACATTGTAGTTAGTGTTGTATGTAGTGGTATGCAGTGGTATGTATGTGGAGTATGTTTACTTCTTCAAAATGGAGGATATCTGAAGAATGTGTTGGAATAGTATATCAGCTGACAAAATATACTTGTCAGCTATAACAAAAAAAAAGAAACTACGGAACTTTTTTACTTCAAACAGCCCCCCTGCCCCTTCCAACATTTTTACACCATGACATCCAGAGGGATTCATTTCACTTTCATTTAATTTCAATACTTCTTTCACAATAATCAGTCATAGGCTGTGGCATAACGTCTTTCAACACTGTATGTGGATCTTCATGTTATCCACCGCAGTAATGCGCTAACAAGGTTTTTTGGGGAAGAATGTAGATTGTCATTTGATTTGTAAACTATCAAAATTAGCCAGCTAGCTCCTGTTAGCTGGCTCAGTCTAAACCTTTGTTGAGAGTTGAGAGAGTCCTGCACTAGTATTAATTCAATTCCATTCACTCATTGACCTTGAATAGTTTTATTCCATCATATTCTATCCCCCATTGTCTCCTTCTT